TACCGCCTCAACGGCGACGACGCCACGGTGCAGCGCCTGATCAAGCGCCCCAACAGCGCGCTGGAGGCGGGGGCGCGCGCCCCCATGGAGCTGCTGTATGGAGTCACCGCCGCCGCCTCGGGGCTGCTGCTGGATCCAATGGCGGTGAGCCGAGGAGGGAGGGACGGGGAAGGGGGCAGGAGGGTGGAGTGGGGGGAGGGGTGGGCGGGCTGCAGAGCGGCTGGGTGGCCGAGAGGCCAGGGATGAGGGGACTGAGCAGCGGTGGCGCGCAGCCCGGCTGCGTCTGGGCGCCTTCCCTGCCCTGCCTCTGCTGCCGCGCCCCGGCGCCGTGGCTGAGCCCGGCCCCGCCCTGCCTGCTGCCTGCCCCCTGGGCTGTGTGCCCCCGCTGCAGGGCTGGCAGGAGAACAAGCGGACGGGGCTGGCGCTGGGCCTGGCCAAGGGCGTGGTGGGGCTGCACGTGCGGCCGGTGGTGGGCGTCATTGAGTGCTCATCCAAGGTGCTCCACTCGCTGGCGCTGGCCACGCTGGGCAGGGAGGGCATCCTGGGGAAGATGCAGGTGAGGGGAGGGGGGCGGCGAGGGGGAGGGGAGACAGGGTGGTGGCGAGCCTGGGCTGCTGCGGGCAGGGCCTGGGCGTGTGGTGGGAGCGAGGCGGCGCCTGCGGGCATCGTGGCGGCAGGGCACATACTGGGCTCAGGGCGGGCGGGAGAGGGCACCGTGCCGCCCCGCCGCAACGGCTGACCACTGTGCTGCCTGCCTGCTGCCCCACCCGCCCGCTGGCCCGCAGCGCCGCGTCAAGGCGCCCGGCGCCTTCTCGGACGAGGCGGCGGAGCAGCTGGAGGAGGGGCAGCGGCGGGAGGCGGCGGCGCAGCAGCGCGCGCTCATGGCCGCCTGGCAGCGCGTGCTGCCAGAGTTCTTCCCCCAGATGGCCGAAGATACGGTGGAGGGTGAGGGGGACGGGGGTGGGGTGTTAGGGTTTGCTGCTGCGGTGGTGCTGGGCTGCTGCTGCACCCGACGCCTGCTTGTGCCGCGGCTGCTGCCCCGCTCTGCCCACGCGTCCGGCCTCCCTCCCGCCCCAGCCACCACCACCGCACGCATCCACCGCAAACACCGCCCCGCTCCCCGCTCCCTCCTCCCCTCCTCCCCCCCCTCCCTCCTGCAGACGTCATCAACATCCGCTCCACCCGCGTGGTGCTCATCACCGACAAGCATCTGGCCTACCTGCGGGCGCGCCACATGCGCCACCACTCCATGTACCGAGCCAAGTGGCTGGTGCCGGTGTCGGAGATACAGAACCTGAGGGGTGAGGGGCGGGCAGCCGCGCGGCGGCAGCAGCAGCCCCGCCGGGGCGCCGGCCTGCCCCTGCAGCAGCACCAGCTCACCCACCCCCTGCCTGCCTGCCACCCACGCCTATGTGTGTCCCGCACCCGCCTCAACGCACGGCTCTTCCCCCTGCCGACGTGTGTATGTACCTCACCTCACCCCTGCGCACCCCTGCCCCCACCGCCCCACCGCCCCCCTCCCTGCCGCAGGCGACAGCGAGAGCTTCAAGATCTCCATCACACACGTCCACCGCTACAGCCTGTGGGTCATGGGTGTGTGGCCGGTGCAGAAGAAGAAGGGCATGCGGTGCGCGACCCGCGCCATCTACGAGCGCATGGTCATCAAGCTGTCCCGCCTACTGCAAAAGGGGCGGGGCGAGGGCGGCGAGGAGGATGCTGCGGACGCGGGGCTGGCCAGGTTTGCGGGCGCTGACCTGGCGGACCTCACAATACTGTCCTCGCCCTACGCCGAGCCCGCCGCCGGCAGCAGGCCGGGCGTGCCGCTGGCGCTGATGCCGCCGCCGCCGTCGCTGCCGCCGTCGCCGTCGCACGCGGCGCCGCAGTGAGAGGCAGCGGCAGCCAGCGGGCGCCACTGTGGGCAGGCAGCAGCACAGGTCGGGGGGCCAGATGCTGCTGCACAGCCGCAGGCAGGCGTCTGCTGCCGCCGCTGCCCAACACACCCAACCGGTTACTTCTACGGACAAACAACACCCAAGAAGACTTAGATTGCTAGCACTGCATTGCACTGTTTTTTTACCCATTCGCTTGTCGCATGTCAGGTTAGCGCATGCATCTGCTTCCCGCTTCTGCTTCTTTTTTGCCCCATGCTTTTCCAATCCATCACAGGCTATGTAGCCTATACACTTAGTTGGTGCACAGGGTAACACAACACACCCATCAAGCTTGGAAGGAAGGGAGGAGAGAGCGCAGCAGGGCATGGAAGCCATTGAAGCTTCAGGCAGTAGAAAGCGCAGCGTCCCGACGCAGATGAATGATTATTCCAGGGCCCTGCCAGCCCCCTGCTCAACTGGCTGCTTGTTGCTGGCACCACCCGATGTCAGAGCGTGCCTGAGGAGGAAACAGGGTGTGAGGTCGCCCATTAGCTCCGGTCAAAACTTTCCTACGCCATTGGAAGGTACGTGGCAGGAATCTCAGGCTTGTTCTGAAGCTTAGCAAGAGGGCAGAGAGTGCCCACCACAAATGGAGGCCCTGCCTGCGGCGATGCCGCTCCTGTGGAGATGGAACTTGGCGGCGCTGTCCTCAACCTTCCTGGCGCTGCGGCTGGGCCTGTATGCCTTCCTGGGGTGCGTGGCATGGGTGCGGATCATTGAAGAGGTGCGGCACCGGCGCCGAGGCCACAGCGGCAGCACAGGAGTCCAGCAGGCACCGGGCGAGGCACACGCGCTCCCGACAGTTTTGCAGGAGGGCGACGGCGGCGCTGCGCTGAGCGCAGAGGCTCTGCGGGCGCACGATGCCGGGATCGGCCGCCGAGGCCGCCGCCGGGCCTCGCCTGCCGTCAGCGAGCCGTCATCCCTGGCCGAGAGCATGGATGAGTGGTGCGTGAGAGCCTGCTGCCTCACGGGCCTGTTCGGTGCCCCACCCCGCCTCCTGTCGCCCCGCCCTGGCCTTGCCACCACATGCGCACAAGCCTGCCTGCAGGTCCATCTGGGAGGGCGGCAGCGAGGAGGAGACGGAGGGCAGCCAGGCGAGCCCCGCAGCTCCCGGCACGCCCTCGGCGGCAGCCAGCCAGCCACCCGCGGCGGCGCCCTCTGCCGCCCGCCAGGCTGCCGTACTCGTGCCTGCCGGCCCGCACCCTCCTGTGACGGTCGCGCCTGTGCCCACCCCGCCGGCCCAGAAGACCAGCACTGCGGATGCTGTGCTGCCGAGCGAGGTGGCCAAAGTGGCGGAGGACGAGGAGGAGAAGCAGGCCTGTTGTTGGCTTCATAGCTGCGCACGTGCTGCCATGGGCAGGCTGAGCTGCCATGCTTGCTGCTGGACGGCGCTGCATCACGCTGCTGGTTGCCTGCTGGCCACGCTGCAGGTGCTGGCGGGCGCGGCGCTTGCCGCCGGCGGCGACCTGGCGGAGGCTGGCAAGGAGGCGGTGGAGGCGGGAGTGCGCCAGGGCCAGAAGAAGCAGAAGAAGAAGCGGGCCAGGAAGCCGTGGCTGGCACGCCAGGTGGAAGGCCTGTTCAAGCCCTACTCAGGCAAGGGGCGACGTTGCTGTCCAGCATGGCATTTCCTGGTGGCATGCATGGCCGCCCTCCCCACCAACCGCCCTGCTGCCCCGCATGCGCGTCCTGCAGAGAAGTACCACGCCGCCGGCTTCATGATGTACCGCGGTTTCAACCGCATGGGCAAGCGCATGGAGCGAGGCGCCGCCATCCTGGGCAAGCACCTGGACGGAGCGGTGAGGGCAGAGGTGGAGGTGGAGGCGCTGCAGGGGTGGAGCGCCGGCACGGCTGCCGCCAGGCTCCTCCCGGTGCGTGCCCAGGGCTGTGTGTGCTAGGTGGACCGCCGCACAGCATCCCCTCCATGCAGATCCGGGATGCCGGGGGGTCGGCTGTGAACGAGATGGAGAGGCTGCTCATGAAGTGGGTCAAGTTTGGAGGTGGGCGCTCTGCAGGGCGGCTGTTGGCTGGGCCGGGGCTCGCGGGCATGCTGTGGAGCAGGCGCTGGATGCCGCTGTGTGGGTTGGTGGCGGCCTGTGGGCAGCAATGGTGTGCGCCGCCCGCCGCCCAGTGCAGGTGTGGTGGCCTTTCTGACGGTGGTGCTACTGCCCCTGCCCAGCGTGCACATCACCATTGCCGCGGGCTGAAATTGGGCGGGACCGTGGCCAGCAGCGCAGCACCGCTTGGCGGCGCTGTGATCCCAGCCCTCCACCAGCCGTTTGTGCCGCGCGTTTTTGTAACCTGATTGTCACGGATGATGCAGTGGCTAGTGCAACAGCTGTTTCATTGCTCGGCACTGCCTGCAGCTTCTGCACTCCACAGGACGTAGCGCCCCGCCGCGAGATGCCCGCCAGGGTGGCGCCGCCCCCGCCGCCATGATCGGCGGCTCCTCATGCATGCGCAAACTGTCCTCAACGCAGCTTTAATCCCGATCTGCAGCATGTTACCTCACTTGGTGAGCCCCCGCGGCGTGTTGGGTGTACCCCTGGCATCGTGCGCAAGCCCCTTGCCCTCGGAGGGCGCCCCCGACGTCGTAGTTTGAGCCTAGATCGCCATCGCAGGTGCTGGTGGGCGGGGTTGGGCCCCAGGCGCCGCCTAGGGCTTTGCTGCCGCCCGCCGCCGCCGCCACCTGCCCCTCGTTTCACGTCCCTCGCTTGTGCACAGCAGTGAGCTTTCCTGCCGGTATATGCTAGTGTTTGAGATGCCTCTGTGCGGCGCTGTGTTGCAGTCTGTGATGCAGCAGCCACCCACCCCTCAGCGGGCGACCCACCAGCCGCCGGCGCCGCCGTCTGGCGGCGGCGGCACCGGCCTGCTGGCTGCGCTGACCCTGCTGCTCGTGGCGTACACCAACTTCTCCCTGGCAGGTGCGGCTGGGCAGTTCTGCAAAGCAAATGCGGTCCCGGCGTGGCCTGGAGCCCGTTGCAAGCCCCTGTCATGCCACGTTTCCCCGCCGATGCCTCGCCTCTCACGAGAGCCGTCGCTCCCCCTCGCCCGCCACACGTCACCCCGCAGGCCTCCTGCTCCTGCTCGCCTTCCTGGCATGGGGCGCCATGGCTGCCACGGCGGAGCAGCAGACGGCCAAGAGGCTGTGGGCGGCCGTGTCAGGTGGGTACACTGCTGCCACCCAGGCTGCTTCCACGCCACCGTGGCGCTGCCAGGCCCTGGCTCCCCTGCTCTGGACCGGTGGCACCTGCCCGCAGCGGCGCCGTGGCAAGCCCAGCGCCATGCGCCCTGCCTGCAGGCCTGTCTGCTATGGGCCTGCTGCTCCAGCTGGGCGTCCAGGCTGCCTTCCTGCTGGGTGCGCCGGGCCTGGGCGCCACCGCCCCCTTCCTCAAAGTGCTGGGGTTCCCGCACGCTGAAAGCCTGGCGGGCGTGCTGCTGGTGAGTGGGGTGGCCAGAGGGGCAGCAGGCAGGCAGGCAGGTTGTGGCCAACGGCTGCCGCCCGACTTGCTGCAAGCCTGGACGTCGTTGGCTCTGCGACATTACCCTGATTTGGCTCTGCGACACCCTGAGCGCTGTGCGGTGCGTGCAGGCGGTGGTGCCGATGATGCTGGTGCTGCTGGCATCAGCGGCCCAGGTGCAGGCCGCGCGCGACAGCGGGCAGCAGCAGCGGCAGCGGCAGAGCGAGGGCACCGAGCTGCAGCCGCTCACCAGGCAGCAGCTGTGGCAGCGCGGTCTGCCGCGGGCCTTCCACGCGCCCAGCTACAGCCTGTCGGGCGCGGCTGTAGGCGCCGCCCTGCTGGCCGCCGCCATCGCGCAACCGTCGGTGCTGGCGGCGCCATACATGCTGGCTGCCACGGCCGCCGTGTGGCGCTGGTCTGGCACCTCCAGCAGCCGGGGCGTGGGCGGCGGGCGCGGCAGGGCGCGGCGCAGGGCCCTGCTGCAAACCTACACGGCCGCCTACCTTGTGGCCCTGTACGCGTGGCAGGCGGTCCTGCACGGCTGGGCCCTGCTGCAGCCGCTGGCCGAGGTGCTGGGCCTCTTCACTCTGACCGCCGACGAAGACCAGGGCTGGCAGCAGCTGCTGCCCGCGGCAGTGCAGCTGGCGTCCCTGCTGCTGCTCTACCTCGCCCTGGGTGCAGCTCACGGCGGCGGCGCGCCGCGCGAGGCTGGCCCGGCGCCCGTTGACGCCTGGGATGGCAGCCCGGCGGGAGAGCGCTCCCCGCTGCTGCAGGCCAGCCCTCGGCCGCCGCACGCGGTGGCACGCGCCGTCCAGGCATCCAGCTGGCCTCAGCTGCTGTACCTGCTGCTGCTGGAGGCAGTGGAGCTTGTGTGCAGCCGGCCGGCCGCAGTGGCGGCAACACTGGCGTGCACCGCGCTGCTGCAGCCGTCGCTGCTGGGCGGCTGCATGCTGCTGATAGGACTGTCGGCGCTGCTGGCGCGCTGGGCTGCCTCCGCCTTGCAGCACGCCAGGCGGCCCCTGGCTGCCTTGCTGCTGGCCTGGCAGCTGGCCTGCTACGGCGCCACCGTTGCGGCACGGGTGATGCAGCTGCCGCCAGTGGCAGAAGCCGTCGGCATCCATGCCTTTGGGGCGGCCGCCTGGCTGCCGCTGCTCATCATGCTGGTGGCGGCTGCGGCCACGGCCGGCCCTGCCACAGCCCCACGCGGCAGAGGCAGCCCGCTGAGCAGCAGCAACCTGCTGCTGCTGCAGCTGCAGGAGCAGCACCGGCAGCAAGTGCCGCCGCGCCTGCAGTCGCTGTTTGTGCGTATGGGCAGCCTGCGCCCCGCCCGCAACAGCCCGGCAGTCAGCAGCACGGCAGGCCCCAGTGAACCCATCTCACCCACGGCAGGCGCCGGCGGCGCTGCCGCGCTGCCTCCCGCCGCGCCCGACAGCCTGGGCGCCGCGGCTCCCTGGCTAGTGGCCTGGAACCTGCTGCTGCGGCTGCTCCACTACTGCGGCTTCCTGGCGGTGCCAGCCCTGCTGTTTGTGGTGGGCGCGGCGCAGTACGTTGTGCTGCACGGCCTGTACCTGGCTGGCCTACTGGCATGGCTGGCAGGGAGGACGCTGCACCTCAAGCCCAGCCTCTCCACGGTGAGCGGCTGGCATGGGTGTGCTGCGCATCGCTGCCTGCCCCGGGGCTGCATGTTGCTGCTCGAGACGGCCAGCGACTCTTTTATGAAAGTGGAGGCGGCACGGCGCACTCTTAAGCCGCGTATGCTTTCCTCCCGAGGTGCAGGCCATTCTAGACGGTACCGGCCACTGTCTGCTGCGCACCTACTCCAGGTGGGTTTCCAGTGCAGCCGCTGCCATTTGCCTTGAGAGTCGGGTTTGATCGTTTCCAAATAGGAAATAATGCAAATCGCGTGTGCCCTGTCCCTCCCTGCCGCTGTCCCTGCAGCCTCCATCTGGCAGCGGTGTATGCAGCATGCGTGGGCGGCCTGCCCGGCTTCTGCGCCATCCTGCAGCCTGAAGGCCTGCAGCCTCTGCTGTCAGCCATCGGCCTGTGGCATCCCTCGGTGGCTGCCGGCATGCTGCCAGTGCTGGCCTTGCTGCTGATGGTGAGTGCGGGGGACCGTGCTGCACACCAGGTGGATAGACCGTGCGCCCACAATGGCATGCGGTCGGTGCCAGGGGGAGCGGGAGCGGGTTCCAGCAGCGCGCTCACCGTGTGGCGGCATCGTGCTGCAGGCCACCTTGCACGGCCACGTGGCGGCAGCCGTGCATGGCACAGCCAGGGAGCAGTACTGCAGGCAAGGCCACACGTGCTGGGTTGGCTTGTAGGGTGGCATGCGCCTTGGGGCCCTGCTGTTGCCTGTCTGCCTGCCATGACTGTGTCAGTGTTCAGTGGATGGGAAAGCCCCCACCTTGCCTGGTGCCACCACATCCTCTGCTGGCCGGTTGTGTGTGTGCAGCGACGTGGATGGCGTGTCCACCTGGCACCCCGCCGCCCTGGTGTACACCAGCCGCCTGGCAGTCGCCTACGGCCCTGCCTCCATTGTTGCCCTGGTGCGCCTGCCGAGCTGGTGGCGTGAATGGTGCACCCGGCCACGCTGCCCTGCCAGCCGGCTGCCTGCCAAAGCTGACACCCGCTCCCTCTGCTGCGAAACCCGCGCGCTGGATCTGCAGGGCTACTGCCTGCTGCTGCTGGATTGCGACATCGCCCTGCTGGGGCTGGGATACCTGCTGCTGCTGGCGGCGCTGCTGCTCCACCAGCCGCCGCGCAGTCGGTGGGAGGAGCCGGCAGGCGCGGGCGCAGCCGGCAGCAGCACGCAGGAGCGGCAGCAGGCCATGAGCAGCAGCGTGCTGCCCACCGTAATGCAGGGCCTGGTGCAGCGCATACCAGGCAGCCGACGTGTGAGGCTTGCCTCCCCAACCCGCAGCTGGCTCCCGCTCATGCTGCTGGCAGCCTACGCGGCATGCGACTTTGCGGCCCAAGCGCTGCTGCCGGCAGCGGCGGCGGCCGCCGCGGCAGGCTGGTTCGAGCTGCCGGATGACATCCTGGCGTTCCTGAGGGCGGTTGTGGGTGAGCGTTAGCGAGGCTGGCTGGAACGTGTTTTGTATGACAGACAGCGAGGGAAGGGACAATGTGCCAGTTTGGTTGACACCATAGCATCCTACTGGCTTGCTTGCTTCACACATGCAGCCTGGTTTGCATCCGCGCTCGCTTGCAGGGCTGAGCGAGCAGGCCCATGGCCTGCAGCTGGCGCTGCGCCTGCTGCGCCCGCTGCTGCTGCTGGCGGCCACCTCCACCTACCGCTGCTGCTACTGCCTGGGCACCCTGCACAAGCAGCTGCAGCACCAGGCCATGCCGCAAGCTGTGCTGGCAGCCCACAGGTATGCTGTATGCTGCTGCTTTTGGGGGTGGCTGCCGCTTTGCACCCATCATCACCAGGCGGTTGTTCTGGCGTTAGTGCGGCTCACCTCCCCCTTTTCACCCTGAGTTCCCCGCAGACTGCATGCCCAGTTGGGATGGAAGTCTCTGGGCAAGCGCCTGCTCATCTTGCACGGCAGCAAGGCAGTGGGCTTGCTGGTCTTTGCTGCGGCAATGCAGCACTCTGGGGCTGTGGGCTGGCTGCTCACAGGTGCGGGCACACCCCCTCCCAACATCCCTGGAGCTGCTTCGCAGCGCGTGTGGGCAAGGCCTGCTGTTGCTGTGAAGACTGTTTGCTTCACTCCTTCCATCCACAGTGCTCCCATGTTCCTGCCTCTGCAGCGGGGGTGGTGGCGCTGGCACCTCTGCTGGGCGCACCTCGCTCGGGCACCACCTGCCGGCAGCCGCTGCTGCGCGCTGGGCTGCAGAGCGCTGCGGCCGTGGCCGGGGCGTGGATGGTTGCGCAGTATGCGCTCTGTGTGCCCTGGCTGCAGGTCCGTTTCAGATGACGTGTGGCATGTCTTGCATGCCATAGCCTATTGTGCCTTGCGGGCTTGCTGGAGGTACCAACTAGGCGCGTTGTGCTGCTGGCGCTGGATGTTGCAGGCCTTGTTGATGCAGCTGTCTCCCAGCGCCCTGGACTGGGCTCAGTGGGCGGGGCTGCTGGTGCCGCCCGACCCCGGCCCCGACAGCGGCAGCGGCGCGGGGGAGTTGGAGCGCCTGCTGAGGGTCAAGTGCCTGCTGCTGGTGGCGGTCGCCCTCAAGACTCGGGCATTCAGGTGCGATGGCTGGCACGCCTGCTCACCTGCTCCCTTGGGGCTGCCACGCTTTGCTGCCTCTGGCTGTTCAAAAGGTTTGCTGGCAGGATGTCGCGATGCCGCCGCCACCTTTGCTGCCGTGCAGGTGGCAGAGCAAGCTGCCTCAGCAGCTGCGCTCCGCAGGCAGATGCGGCTCCCCGTGCCCGCTCTTCTGGCCCACCTCGCCCACCTACCAGCCGCCGCCGCTCGGTGCGCTTCCGGCGGCTGCTCCCCCTGCCAGGCCGCTTTCCAGCCCGAAACCGCTGCCCATCCATGACCTGGCAAGCACAGTGATTAGCTAAGGCCCCTTGCTTGCTTGCGCCTCTCTCTGCAGATGGCGCGCTGAGCCCGGGCACGCCAGGCCCCCACCAGCTGGGCGCCCTGTCCCTGCTGGGCTCCCTGCACAGGGCGGCCACCGCGGTCCTCAGCAGGGCGCAGCACACCACCCAGCAGGCGCTGCGCGCCATAGATTGGCCTGCCGGCCAGTCGATAGCCGAGGAGGGTGCCGGTGAGGGCGCCGCCATCCCAGAGCCAGCCACTCCCACGTCGCGCCTCGCCGCTGCGCCGGCGGCAGCGGAGCCGTCTGCCGCCGCGGCGCCCGCATGCCGGGCCGCCGACAGCGACGCCTTTGTGGCTGCCGTGTACCGGCGGCGGCAGCAGTGGCGCCTGCTGCGCTTTGCTGCCCAGGACTGGGTGGAGCGGGCGTGGGAGGACTGGAGCCTGGACATCTGCTGCCTCCTGCTGCTGCTGGCGGCATTTGCGGCAGCCAACGCGCTGTCACTGGCCCACATGGCCGCCATCGCAGCCGGCATGGCGCTTCCCAGCAGCAAGCAGCAGGTGCGCTGGCGGGCTGGCGGGGTTGCGCCTCAGCCTGCCCCCGGGGTGCAGGACAATGCACACTCTGTGCTTCGCTGCGCGGCCGGCATTATACGAGTGTGTGCCCTGCTTGTGAGGCGCGTGTGCTCCCTCCCCTGCCCGCCCTGGCCGCAGTGTGTGTGGCGGTGGCTGGTGGTCCCCATGCTGGCCACCCTGCTGCTGTACCAGTATGCGGTACTGATGGGCCCGCCCCCCACCTGGCCTTGGGGCATGCTGCTGGCGCTGTGGCTGGGCGGCGCCGCCAACCTGCCGCCCCTGGCCCCAGACGTCCAGGTGGGTGGGCTGTGGCAGGAGCATAGATTGACGCACAAGCTTGGTTGTTCGCTGGAGCAGGGTCAACGGCTTGGCAGGAGCAGCAGCCGACAGCAGTGCAGCCGTTAACGACCCCGCCGTTGGCATGGCCGCCCCGCCACATCGCTCACCGACCGCACCCGCCTCCCGCCCTGCCTGCAGGAGTGGCTGGGCCTGGGCGCCGTGGATGCTGCCGCCCTGTGGCTGCTCTACCTCTCGTACGGCGCCTGCGTGCTTCACATGCACTATGCCAGCTGGGCACGGTGCGCACGCCAGCGCCAGCACCACCACCAGCAGGAAGCGGAGGGTGTCCTGGAGGAGGGGAGCCGGCAGTCGGACTCAGGCTCCCTCAGCCGGGCCAGCTCCTTTGATGGCATAGAGTCGGCGCAGCCGTCGCAGTCGGCCCCGCTGCTGCCCAGGGCCGACAGATCGTCCGCGTCTGGCGGCCCCCGCCGGGAGGAGCAGCAGGAGCCGCCGCTGCCGTCGCCACGCCACACCACGCTGCAGGTCACCGTGTCCTCGCCGCCGGAGCCGGCAGGTGGCGCCCCCGCCAGCGACGCGCCGCTGCTGTGGCAGCCGCTGGCGCTGCCCGCCCAGAAGCAGTGGGCCTGGCACGACTGGGCCCGATACATGGTGTACAGGTGGGCCCCCGGGCTGGCCGGGGGTATCCCAGGATACCAGTATCCTGGTATCCATACGGACCAGTGCAATGCTTTGCCTGCGATTGGCCAGCCCGGCTCACACCACCCGCCCTCCTGCCCCTGCCCTGTGCCCTGCTGCCTCCTCCTGCGCGCTGCCGAGCAGGCACTACCTGGATTTCCTGCTGGTGTGCGTGGTGGCGTTGTGCACGCTGGAGAACGACCTCCTGCATGCCGGCTACCTGGCCCTGGCCCTCGCCTTTTTCCGCAGCAGGATCGCGCTGCGCATCAGGCGCAACAGGCAAGGCGGCCCAGGGAGGCGGCCCAGGGATGCAGGGCCTGCTCGTGGCAGGACGAGTCGCTTGGCTGGCTGCAGGCGGGCAGGCGGCCGCATCGGCATGAGTTTTGGCTGCTGCTTTCTGCTGGGATTGACCGCTTGACCCCCCCCCGGAGCCTGCAGCCTCTTCTGGTGGCTGCCCCTGTTCAACTTCCTGGTGATGGTGCTCACGCTCGTGTACCAGGCGCCGCTGCAGCTGCTGCTGCCACCGCGCCACCCAGACCCCGCCTTCAAGGTGTGCAGCAGGGCAGTGCTCAGGGCAGCAGGGCAGCTGCGGGGAGTGTGCAAGCCCCGGCAGCGAGTGCTTGGCTAGCCCACACACACCCCACCTGCGCGCTTGCGCTGTGTATGAGCCTGCGCCTGCACCTGCGCCTGCGCTGCAGGCCTGCTCCTGGGCCCACATCCTGGGCCTGTTCCGGCTGGACCCTGGGGAGAGCCTGCTGAGCCTGGGGTACCGCGGGGCCATGGCAGACGTGCTGCTGTGGGCCTTCATCCGCCTGCAGACCCACATCTTTGCCAGCGGCACGTACGACAGGTGGGGCTGGCTGGCGGCGGCTTGGCTGCCAATACTGCTGCAGCTGCCAATGCTGATGCAGGCAAGATGGGAGCAAGCGGCATTCTTCCGACGCTGATCGAATGTTTCCCATGCCGCTCCCGGCCTGCTGGCGTGCAGGGTGATTGCTGTGGTGCAGCAGGAGGAGCAGGAGGAGAAGCGAGATCTGGAGGAGCAGGTGGCCGGCTGGAAGCAGAAGCAGGCGGCGGCCGCCGTGGAGGAGAGCCAGCAGCGCGCGGCGAGGCGGCAGCGGGTGGAGCGCCTCAAGGCGGCCGCCACCGGCAGCTTTGCGGCGGGTGTGGACACTGTGCAGCAGCTCTACGCCTTCCTGGTGCCGCAGCACCGCCAGCAGGCGCCACAGCCGGCCGAGGCGGGGCCAGCCCAGGCAGCGCCGCCGCCGCCGCCCTCGGTGCCGCACGCTGTCAGCAGCGCGGGGCTCACCGAGTACGAGCGAGAGATGCTGGCAGCCAACAGCGTGGCAGGGGCGGAGCCGCAGCAGCCTGGCGCGCAGGCGTCCTCGGCGCCTGCCACCCCCGGAGCCGCCGGCGTCGCTGCGGCTGCCGCGGCCGCTGCGGCGGGGCAAGGGCGCCACGTCGGCGGCAGGCTGAGGGCCTGGGTGCGCCACAACCTTAGGTGCGGGCCTCCGGTGGAGTGCACGTGATTTTTCCCAGCAGCAAGCGCACACTGCTGCCACTGTGCCCGCTGCACTGCCGTGCTGCACGTTCATCCTGCTGCCCCTCCAGCTGTGCTTCACAGCCACCGGCTTGCACCCTCCAGCCCCCCCCCCCCCCTGTCCTATCCCCCCCTCCCTTCTTGCCCTGCAGGCGCGCCGACCGCAACTCGTACGTCTGCTACATCCTCTTCTGCATCGCATTCCTCTCCGACTGCTCCCTGCTCACCCTGGCCATGCCGCTGTCAGCCTTTGCCTACGCCCTGGTCTCCATCAAGCCCAGCGGCACCTACTGGCAGGTGGGTGGGCGGAAGCAGGGAGCCAGGGGGCACAGGCTGTACGGCCGCAGCAACCAGGGAGACAGGGGCAGGGCTCTGCTGGTGGCATTGATTGCGTGGGTCACACGCCGTTGTGTTTCTGTTGTTGTTACTTGCGCCATGGTGCAGATGATACTGGTGTACTGCGAGGCCATCATTGTCACCCAGTACGCCTTCATGGTACCGGAGCAGCTGCGCTGCGACTTCATCTCGCCCATCGTCCAGCACAAGTGAGCGCCTGCTGCTGCCCTCGCTGCTGCTGGGGGGGCATTCTCCCCACCAGTGCCCGGCTGCTCTTGATGCAGCCAGGCGGTGTGTCCCCTGGTTGTGACTGTGTGCTTGTCTGAGTGTCCTGCTGCTCTCCCCCGCCTGCTAACCCCATGTGCCCCACCCTGCCTGCAGCGCCGATGTGCTGGGCATCCACGGCGACCCGCTGCGAGCGCTGCCCATCTTCCTCGTCTACCTGGCCACCCTAAAGCACCACTACAGGCAAGCTCCCGGCTGCGGACATGTGCAATGCCCTGCCTGTGCATCTGGAGCGTTGAGTGGCCCTGCCTGTCAAGGCCAGCCTCCCCACTGACCACCACCTGTGCCTCGCCTCGGCTTTTGCAGCCTGGCCACACGGCATGCCGCCAGGCAGGCGGCAGCAGCGGCGGCGGCGGCCACCACCTCCCAGACAGACCTGGAGGCGGGACCGGTGGCAAACGGCGATGCAGGGGCCCAGGGGGGCAGGGCGGCCAGGGCCGGCGTGCGCCAGGACAGCAGCAGGCAGTACCTGGGAGAGACGCTGGGCAGTACCGTGAGCAGCAGCCTGCAGCGAATAGGCCTGGGGCTGCTGGAAGGGTCCACCACGGGTGAGCTGCCGCTGCCAGCTGTTACCACTGTTACTCCTGCTGTCCGCACTGCTCCCGCCTGCCTGTTGACCGGCGGATGAGCGCCCACATCAGCCCACACCGCCGCGCTGTTCCGCGCCTTCCCCCTGTGCAGCCTGGGAGTTCCTGCTGCGCTGTTGCACGGTGTCAGAGCGGCCGCCCCACTTCCTGCTGGTGACCGTGGCGGTGCCGCCCTCGCCAGCACCAGCGGATGCCGGCTTGCAGGCGCCATCGCACGGCAGCAGGGAGGAGCAGCTGCGAGGGCAGCAGATGCAGGAGCACCTGCAGCAGATCCTGGATGGCTGCCGCCGCACCGACATTGCGGCCGCCAGGGAGCGCCAGGAGCGGCAGGTGGGGATGCTGAAAGGCACCGGGCCGGGGCCCCGCGCCTCACCCACCAAGTTTCTCAAAAGCGGTGCTTTGAGTGCTGCATGCTGGCTTGTCTGCCCCTCCCATCAAACCTTGTGCTTGCAGAGGCTGCTGAACTTTGGGTTTGGAGGCGGCGCTGGGGAGCAGGCAGAGCTGTCCTCGCGAGCTTCTATTTATGAGGCCCCGCTGACTTTTGAGGCACCGGCAACAGCCTCCGGCCAGCACGCCAGCCGAGGCAGCGCCGCAGCGACCGCGTTTCCGGGGCAGCAGCCTCTGAGGGTGGCTCAGTCCACCGGCGTCGTCGACATGCTGGGCAGCAGGCAGGCGACCTACCCAGACCTCAGCACAGTGGGGCCGCTGCAGCTGTCCTTCATCTCATTTGTGGCGGCGCCTGGCGGCTCCGAGGCGCCAGCCCAGTTGACGTCAGCCACCAGCCAGGGCAGCAGCATGGGCGAGGGCTCAGGGGGCAGCCCCGGCGCGGCCGGCGCCCCAGGCGGCGACGGCACCGCGACCGCGCTGTTTGAGGTGGTGGCCGTGAAAAGCACCCCCGACAACAGCAGCGGCTGGTGCAGCGTGGCGGGGTGGCCCCTCAGGTATGCCCCGGGTCGGCGCACCCATGTGCTTGCTGCATTGTAGCTGAGGATCAAGTGCTCCTAGCTCTTCATGGTCACCCTCCCTCCCTCAATGCCCCTCCCTGGGCGCAGGAGCCTGAACCCCGCGCGCCACGCCGCCGCCACCCTGCTGCGCTACCAGCAGGCCACGCGCGGCCTGCCACTGGTGCCGCAGCAGCAGAGCCCCTCGGCGGCCGCCCAGCTGGATCTGGACATACTGGATGCCGAGTATCACAGCAGGCAGCCGCAGGACTGGTGCGCTGCTGCGCTGGCACACACGCTGTGGTGCAGGCTGCGACAGCTGCGGCCCTGCCCTGCCCTGTACACACTGCCGCGTGGCGGGGTGCTGGCAGGCTGCCCTGCAGTGCACTGCATGCCGAGTGATGCTCACCCTGCCCTGCCCGCTCCTCTCGTGGCAGGTATGCCGCCACCACGGCGCTGGACTTTGGCGCGTGGGTGTACGTGGTTCTGCAGTACAATGCGGTGGTCACCTCCGCCCGCAGCCTGTCAGGCGAGCGAGGGGGCAGGGGGGTGGGCCGCCTGGCCTGGGAGGCCGGCCTGCGGGCGGCATGCCCGGCGAGCATGCGGGCCTGCGGTTGGCGCAGCGGGGCCCCACGCCACAGCATGCCTGCACCGCCATGAGCCCACTGTGTCGCCCCCGCTCCCCTCCCCATGCCCCTGCAGAGATCACCAGCGAGCATGTGGTGCCCCTGGACTACCTGCTCACCGTCATGCTGCTCTTCATGCTGCTGGTGGCGGAGCGCGTGTTTTACACAGTGGGCAGCCCGCTGGGCAAGGCGCTGCTGCACCTTGGGTGAGGAGCGCGCTGCGCGGCTGTGCGGCGATGTGCATGGGCGCCTCAAGAAACCAGCCTGCCCTGTGCCTGCCACCCGCCTCTCGAAGCCGGCATGGCGATGCCGATGTACCGCTGTGCTGCTGCAGGGAGATGGTGATGTACACATGGTACTGCCTGGTCCTGTTCTGGAGCCCCCTCACCTCCTCAGGTCTGCTGGCAGGCCCGCTGGCACTGGCGTGGCAGCGTTCCTTGCCTGGCGCCTCCTGAACACCCCCGCCCCGCTTCACACCCTGCCCCTGCCCCTGCCCTGCCCAGGCGCGCGCACCCACCTGCGCATCCTGCTGGCGCTCAAGTGCGCCTCCTTCGCACTGGGGGCGCTGCAGCTGAGGAGCGGCTACCCGCCGCGCGCCGACTCCAGGTGGGCGTGGGCTGGAATCGCAACAGCAGCGACGCTGGCATGCTGGCATGTTGCTCTCTCGCCTGCTGAAGCTGTCCGCGTTCTAATAAGCAGCCACAGCGTCCCCCCGCAAGCCATATCACCACCACCACCATACACACACTGCACGCTCCCTCGCATTCCTGCTGCCGCGCAGCAACGGCATGGGGCGGCACACCTTTTGGTTCATGCGCCGCGTCACCACCGCCCGCGCCGTCGCCTTCAACGTCTTCCTGGCCCTGCCCTTTGTGTACGAGCTGCGCCAGCTGCTGGACTGGGCCCTCACACCCACCACGCTCACGTACGCCTTGTGCCGGTGGTAGCTCCTCCTGCCAGCCCCGCTGTGCTGCTGGCACACCTGCGGCAGCCATCTTCCAGCAACAAGGGGTTGCGAAAGGGGTGGCGCCTCCCAAGCCTGCCCTCCATGCGCTCTCCATCCCTGCCTGACGTCTGCTCCCCCGCCTGCCCGCCACCCTTCTGCAGCTTGTTCGACTGGCTGAAGCTGGAGGAGATCAACGTCAGCCTCTTCTTCGTCACATGGAACCGGTGAGGGGGTGCGTGGTGTGGGTGGTTGGATGGGCGGGCAACCTGTGCGCAGATAGCTGTGCAGCCTGTGCCATAGACAGCTGTGCAGCTGGCGTGCACAGCCAGCCTGGGTTTGGCTCTCGATGCCTGGCATGCACACAGGGGCAGGCCGTGGGAGGCGACCAGGCAGGCCCTGAGCGGTCCGCCTGGCTTGCCTGCCCGGTGCAGCAAGCTGCGGGCAACCAAACGGCTGGGCGACCGTCAGCCGCGCTACGCCAAGTTCCTGCAGGGCACGCTTCTGTTTGCGGGCCTGCTGCTGCTGCTGTGGGTGCCGCTGCTGCTGTTCAGCAGCGGCGCCCCCACCTACACCGTCCCGGCAGTGACGGCATTCAGCACCAATGCCACGCTGTCCACCTCGGATGCCGCCAGCCCGCCGGCCACCCGCGCCGGTGCCGTGCGGCGCTTCAGGCACCTGGCCGCCGCGACGGCTGCCGCGGCCGGCCTGGCAGCAGAGGCGGGTGTGGCGGCAGCCGCATCGGCAGAGTTCCCGGCGTTTGACGGCGGGCGGCGGCGCCAGCGCCAGCAGTGGCTCCCCTACGACGCAGGCATGCCCGATGAGCTGGCCACCTACTCTGCGCAGCAGTTCCAGCTGCTCTGCACGTCAGCGGTGAGCTACCGCCAGGCGGCTGCCCTGCTGGCAACCCCCATGCGCACCCCTCGCCGTAGCTGGCTGGGGCCTTGTGAACTTGTTGCATTTGCTCATGTTTTTGGCGTTGAATACGACTGGCTGGCTGGCTGCCGCGGTCTGGCTGGTTGCCTTCCGGTTTGATGGCGGCCCCACCTTGCTGCTGCAGGATGCCGACCGCTACTGGGACATCACCCCTCCAGCTCAGCAGGAGCTGCAGCAGGCGTTGGTGGCAGGCGGGGAGGGCGAGCCCGCAGGCGGTGGCGTCAGCCTCAGGTGCGCACCTGCTGGAGCTGCCAGGACGGGCACAGTGCATGCGTGCCGTGCCCACGCCTAAACCCTAAACCTCAAGCCTGCCGCCTCATCCTGGGCTCCTCCAGCAACCTTACCGAGCCTCCCAGGATGCCGCTGCCTGCCCTGCCGCTGCAGCCTGGGGTGGACCATCCAGCGCAACCTGCCCCCGCCGTCCGATCACGGCAAGCTGCCTGCTGGGGGGTGCTGCCCCTCATCTGATGCACGGGCGTCCAAGCAGCAGCCGCCCCTGCTTGGCCAGCCGAGGCACTGCAGCGTGCATGCCAGCATGCCGGCCTGCCCAGCGCGGCCGCCCACCCCGCCCCATGCCTGCTGCCTGCTGCTGCAGGCGGCCCCGTGTGCCAGAGCAGCCTGGTCATCCCGCTGGCGCCCTCCTGCCAGCAGCAGCTGGCGGCGGTACTGAACGGTACTGCGGAGTCGGCGCAGCTGCTGCGGTCAGATCCCAGCGGCGGCGGCGGCGGCAGCAGCCAGGCGGCCCTCTACCCGCTGGTGTGGATGATGCGCGGCGATGTGTGCACCAGCCGCCCGCTGAGGCTGGGGGACGTGCCCGGCGGCGCCGCCGCTGGCGCCAGCTTCGACTGGGCCTCTCGCTGGGTGGCCTGCAATGCCTCGCTGCTGCCGCCGCCGGAGCCAGCCCCGCCGGAGCCAGAGCCCCCAGAGCCGGCCCCCGAGCCCCCCAGCCCCGACACGCTGGGTGGGCCGCATCTGAGCAGCAGCAGCAGCAGTGGCGCTGCTGCCTCCGCGCGACAGCGCCGCCGCCTGGCTGCGGTCGGCGACCGGGCCGGGGCGCTGGGCGACGGCGCCAGCCTGGCCAGCTGGTGGCACCTGGAGTGCTGGATTGTCAATGCCAGCGGGTCGCCCATTCAGCCGGGGGAGGAGGTGCAGGAGGCTGAGTGTGGAGCCACGTTTGGCGGCCCCAGGTGCGCCCATGCTTTGCTTTGCCTGCCATTCGCACCCTAGGGGGCGCCGACAGTTGCCACAACAGCCACAGTTGGCACCGACCTTGCCGCTGCTTCCCTCGCTGGCCCTGCAGGCTGGTGGCGGTGCTGGAGCGGGTGCAGGGCGGCATCATTGGGCAGACCCTCAGCAAGTATGGCATCGCCGGCCTCTTCTCCATCGTGGTCCTCTCCGTAGGTGGGAGTAGGAGGAGCATGCGTGTGCTTTTGCTTGTGGTGTGGCATCCCAGCATGCTGGCGGCGCTGCCAGCATCACGCGCTCTCTGCTGGTGTATGTCTCTGCCTGCATGCCGGTGCAAGAGGTCTGCGTGCATGGGCCCCACCCCCGGCCTCCCACATGCTTCCCTCCCACATGCCGCCTGTGTGGCGCCACGTCCGCCCCGCCGCAGGCCGCTTTTTGCGGCTAAGCCTGAGCAACATGCGGGCAAAGATACCTTTTGAGGACCTGCCCAACACCCGCAGGCTGGTGGGCCTGTGCCAGGTGAGCTGGCGGTGCAGCGCAGAAGGAAGGGGTGTCCAGCCCCCCTTGCCCCGACGCTGTCGCCCTCTAACCCTCGCTGGCGGCCGGTGTGCCGCGCAGGACATTTACATAGCGCGTGCCGAGGGCGAGCTGGCGCTGGAGGAGCAGCTGTACTGGAGCCTGGTGAGCGCGCTGGAGGGCTGGCTGTGGATCTTCTCGGAAGCGGGAGGCGGATTCTGGTGCTGGACTGGTGCCTCACTGCCGCACGCCTTGCACGGCACTCCTGCTGCTGCGCAGGTCAACATCTATCGCTTGCCTTCGGTCCTGTTCGAGCTGACCAAGAAGCCTCAGTAGCCAGATGACGATTCGCTTGTTGGCAGATGGCATGCCTGGCACATGTCAGCGGCAGCACACACCTTTTGGTAGCAGTAGCACACCACATGCGCAAGGATTATATCGGTTCCACGCAACTTCATAAAAACAGGTGGTCAATTCAGTTCGATCAGTGCTCTCAGTGCTCTTTCCGCACGCTCCGCTCGCGGCACAGCAGCCGTCCTGGCTGCGTGCTGCCCCTCCACGCACCAGCTAGCTGCCCTTGGTGGCTGCCTTCTTGGCGGCGACCCTCGCGACGCGCTTTGCGCGCTGCCGCAGGTACTCCTCTATCAACGCCTGCCCCGCCAGCATGCCCGCCCGCGCCGCCGCCACCGGCGGCAGGCCCTCCGCAAGCGCGGCCGCCACGGCCGCCTGCTGCTGCTGCGACAGCTGGGCCTTGGCTTCCTTGTACGCCCGCCTGCACATGCACACAGCATGCACCGACGCACACTCAGAGCCGGCAGGCGAACCATGCATGCGCGGCCATATCCCCCTGCATCATCACCTCACACGCTTCCCGCCACGCGCATGGCAGGCAAGCAAGCGCAACAGGGCAGGGCAGGGCAGGGCAGGCGAGCCAGGGGGCCGCTCACAGCTCCTCCTCCGCCTCCAGCTTGAACTCAGACTTCTCCAGGATGGTGGCAGACCGCCACATCTCTGCGCAGGGTGCACGTAGTGTGGGCGTGTGAGGCGACCCGCCGCGCCAGACGCAGCAATGGGCCGCCGGCACGCTCGGGGTGGCCAGCAAAGCTGGCCCGGCCCGGCCCGGCCCGGCTGCCACCCACCCGACAGCCGCAGCATGATTTCGGAGCCTGCCGGCGCGGGCCCCAGCCCCTGCCTGGCCTGATGGATGTGGGCATTGGTGAAGAGGTTGTAGGCGGTTGGGGGGCGCGGCAGGTTCACTGCGGGCAGCAGGGGGGACAGGGGCGTGGGGTGGGTGGGTGGCGGTAGGCAAGCCAGCGCAGAAAGCGCGGGAAAGCAGGGAGCCAGCGGCCATGCACCGCCCTGCCAGCCGACACGGTGCCCGGCCTGGCCGCAAGCCCGCGTGGAGCCCCCACACCAGCCCACCAGCCAGCCAGGCCATGCGGCGGGGCTCACGCTTCTTCTGCAGCGTCTCGTCCAGGCTGATGCCGCGCGCGTCGCGCTGTGCCACCTCAGCCTCCAGCTCAGCACGCTGAGCTGGCGCCAGCGTCGCCACCTCCGTGCCCTCAGGCAGCAGGCCGTGCTCCAGCGCCGCTGCCTGCAGCCTGCAGTGCCAGGAGTGGTGGTGGGCGAGCGTGCGGGTGCGTGTGTGGGGGTGCGGGGGAGATGAGGGGGCACGGCGTGCAGGACGCTAACGGCAGGCACGGTTTCCTGGCACGGCAGTAGCTACTGCCGGTGCTGTAACAGCGCGGCAACAGTGCAGCGGCAGCTGCCGGCGCCGCCTCACTGCTCGTTCGTCGCCTGCTCCTCGTACGGCCGCCGCTCCTCGGGCGACATGCGCGTCCACTGCGCCCCCACCTCCTTTGCCAGGTTGCGGCCGGGGGCCCGCCACCACTTGTCACCCGTGCGCTCCGCCTCTTGCATCACGCCTGCGGCAGGACAGAGGGCCAGCCGGTAGGGGCTTGTAAGCAGCCCAGCATTTGGAATGCTGATGGGCACATGACGATCGTGCAGCCCCCAGTACCCCCCTACCTCCCATGCCAGCGCCACCACAGCCCTCCCTCCCCTCCCTCCCACCCCGGTCCCGGCCCCAGCTGCAGCCGCCGGCTCCCTGACAGCCAGCGCCCAACCGGAAGCCCCACCCCTGCTTGCTGCGCGTGCTCCTTACTTCGGAAGTACAGCGTGTAAGCGCTGGGCCCGCGCTTGTAGTTCCTCGGCTTGCTGGCGGCGGCAGCCCGTGCTGCGGCCATGGCAGGCCCATCGGTCAACTTCAGCGCCGCCTGCGGGGCCAGGGCCGGGCCCGGAAGTGGGGGCTCAGGCGTGGTTTGTAGCGGCGTTGTGGTAATGGCAGGGCGAGGGGCCAAAGCCCGGGGAAGCACGCCCCGTCTGCTCACATGTGCCCCCCCCGGCTGGCATGTGCCTATGGCGCCGCCCCCGGCAGCAGAGCGCAGCCCGCCACGGTCCCCGGCCCGCCACCACCACCAACTCAACACAAACGACCACACACACACATGCCGTCGCGACAGGAGCCCGGCCTCACCTTGAGCTGCTCCACCTCCACCTCTGCCGCCGCATCCAGCGCGATGCGCGCCCCCAGGCGGGCCACCTGCGCCTTGTGCGCCGCGCTGTCCACGTCGTCCCCATCCAGCAGCCCCGCCTCCTCCCCAGCCTCTGGCCGCGCCTCCCCCGTCGCCACGGCCGCCACCACCGCCGCCGCCAGCTCGTCGACGCGCCGCGGCCTGCCCCTGCGCCTGCGCACCTCGCCCTTCCCCGTCGCCGCCGCGCCATTCGGCGGCCCAGCCAGCGCCGCCGCCACCTTGCGGGCGGCACGTCCAGTGGAGTAGATAGTCTTGCCGGCCAGCAGCTGCAGCGCGTCTGGCAGCGACAGCTTCAGAGGGTCGTACTCCTGTGGAGGGAGGGAGGGAGAGGGGAGGCAGGGAGGGAGGGAGGCAGCCCAATCTCGGGGCGGAAGGGACTGGCAAGCGAGACGCTGGGAGGGGCCGGGCTAGGAGCCGGGCGGGCGGGCAGGCATGCAGGCAGGCGTGAGGCAGGTGCCCACCCACCCACAGCCCACCCACCCACCTACCTTGGGCACGGCGCGCGACAGGGCCCCGCAGCGGATGAAGGGCCCAAACTTGCCCATTGACACCAGCACGCTCTCGCCTGCAGGCGGCGCCGCGGGGGCGGGCACGCCGCGCCACGTCAGCGTGCCGGCCAATGCCCGGCTACAGAAGGCTGCCGGGCTGGCCGGGTGGGCCTCCCGTGCCCACGACAGGTGCGCGCATGTGTGCGTGTGTGTGTGCTTGTGCGCGTGTGTGTGTTGTGTTTATGTGTGTAGGCATGGTGGCGGTCACGGTGTGCAGCTGCGCCCAGGGCAGGCCCCCCAAGCCCACCTGTGGCCGGGTTGAGGCCCAGGTCTTTCGGCAGGGCCAGCATCTCCAGGGCCAAGGCAAGCGTCACCACCTTGTGCTGCATGTGCTGCAGCTGTGCGGCGCGGAGCGAGGCGCCAGGCGCAGGGGCAGGCCGGTGAGGGGGGGAGGCACGCGCGGGCTGTGGGGGCCGGCAGGCGCAGGAGCAAGCTGGTAGGCAGGGCAGCGCGGCCGAGGCCCGGGCGCGGCAGCCGCGGGCGGCAGGCAAGGGGGCGAGGCGGTGTGGCGGCCTGGCGGCAGCGGCGCACCCGTGGCAGCGCCTGGCGCCGGAAGCCCTGCTCCTCCTCGTTGTTACCGCGCTGTACGTAGGGCCCGTACAGCCCCGCCCGCACAAACACTGGCATGCCCGAGGAAGGGTCGTCGCCCAGCAGGCGGGCATAGCCTGCGGCAGGAGAGAGGCGGGGCGACGGCGGGTGAGGTGCACACGGGCGCGAGTTGGCAACCGGAGCCGGCATGCACACACCGAGCACAGCACAGTGCAACGCAGCGCGGCGCGGCTCGGCTCGGCACGGCTGCAGGCGTGCACAGGCGCCGGCCTGAGGGCCGGCTACGCCAGCAGGCGCGCACCCGAGAGGCCGGTCAGCGCGACCCCCTTCTCCGCCTGCATCTGCTCCTCGCCCTCGCCCATGGTGCCCTTCTTGACGGCCGGCTCCTCCACCGTCCAGTCCACTTGGATAGGGCGGCTGTACTTGCAGCCTGCATGCCACAAAACCAACAGGAAAGATCCCAGTGTGTGTGCGGGGGAGGGGTGCGGGGCTGGATGCGCCAGTTGATGTGGGCGAGAGGGGTGGTGGCGGGCGGGGCGCGAGGCCCAGGGCGGCATCAGTGCGCCGCCGCATCGGAGGCGCTGTGCAGGTGGCTGGCATGCGGGCGAGCAGCAGCGCTGGGCGGCCCGCAGCCCCAGGCCCACTTGGGTACAGGGAGCAGCCAACAAAGGGAGGCACTTTGGACTTGGACACAAACTTGATGGACAGCTGGCCGCCGCAGGAGGGGCAGGTGCGGTCCTGCAACGCCATGCACAAAGCCATGCCTGGGCTGGGCAGGGCGACGGCAGGGCCTGGCGGCGAGTGGCGGCGAGGGGCGGGAGCAGGGGCGGGAGTGTACGGCCAGCAGGGGTGGGGAGGCCACCAGGAGGCATGCCGGCAGTGTCCAGCCGGTGTGTGTGATGGCGGCGCCGACTGAGTGCCTTGCTGTCCCGGCGGTGCCCCCTCACCTCCCCAATCAGCTGATCCCCCACCATCTCATTCATCCTGTCGATCACATGTGTCACCGGCACGCCTGCGCCAGCAGCAGCCGGGCAGGGTCAGCCAGGGCGGGCGCAGGCAGCATAGCACCAGGTCCAGGCAATACGGCCTGCGGTACCGCCATGCCAGGCACACCAGTATCCCATGCTGGCAGCCTCACCCCCCACGTGGTCGAGCGTGTCGGTGAAGGGAGCCCAGAACCCGCGCAGCACATCCTGCCACTCTGTGCCGCCCCCTGCAGCCAACACACACACATCAACAAATCAGATCCGGCTTGCCACCACTTCCGCTGCTGGCGCTGCGGTGGTGCAGGCTGCAGTGAACACCGGGCACAGGCAGGCAGGCAGGCAGGCAGGGCAGGGCAGGCACATGGCGGGCTGTCCCACACGCCAGCGGTACCACCCACCCGACACCTCATCCAGCTGCTCCTCCAGGCTGCTTGTGAACCCAAAGTCGACATACTGGAGGGCAGGCAAGCAAGGAGAAGGGGGAGGTGGAGGTGGAGGCGAGGAGGGGGCAATAAGGCGGTGGGCGCGTGGCATAGCCTCCAGCTGTGCTCGCCAGTCGCCGCCACCAGCCAGTCGCCGCCAACAACAACGCCCCACCACCACAGCGCAGCTCCCGCGCCCCACCTGAGGGAAGTATGCCTGCAGGAAGGCGGTGAGCACGCGGCCCAGCGCCTCGGCATGCAGCGCCCGCCCCTCCTTGCGCACATACCCGCGCGCCTGCGCACAGGGGCAGGGGCAGCAGGCAGGGCAAGGCAAGGGCAAGGCAGGTAGGCAGGCAAACTGTCAGCGACGCCGTGCGGTTGCGGTGTCAGAACAGTAGGCAATGCAGCGGCGGGGTGGCGGCATGCAACAAGAGGGCGAGGCCGCCGCTGCCGCTCGCCTGCAGCACGTTGATGGTGGGTGCGTAGGTGCTGGGCCGCCCAATGCCCAGCTCCTCCAGGTGCTTCACAAGGCTGCCTGCAGCAGGTGTGCGCGGAACAGGCTGGTGGCACGCCTCGGTTTGAGCCGGCTTCCACGCTCCTGCTCCTGCCCAAGCGAGTCCAGCCCCCGCCCCTTACCCACACACCTTCTCACACGAACGCATCATGCACCATGGTCACCCACCCACTCCCAGCGGTCTCCGCACCTTCTGTGTAGCGCGCCGGCGGGCGCGTCTCGTGCTCAGAGGCCGCCGCCTCGCTCACCCCCACCTCCTGCCCGCGCCGGATGGCTGCCAGGCCCGCCACGGCGGCGGCCCGCGCCGCCTCCTGCTGCGCCCGCCGCCTGGAGGAGACGGCGGCGCCCTCGCCCTCGCCCTCGCCCTCGCCCTCCTCCTCAGCCTGCGCCGCCCCTGCCTCATCCTCCGCTTTACCGCCGTCGGCAGCAGCAGAGATGGCAGCGGGGTCAAAGTAAGCGGCCAGGAAGCCGGGGAAGGCGCTGGCGCTGGCGGTGGCACGCAGCTGCAGGCCGTCGTCCTCGCTGGCCAGATCAGCGGCCACCTGCAGCGGCGGCGCGCAGCAGGGTGAGGTGGGGGCGGGCTGCAGCGCAGAGGGCGCGGCGTGGCGCAAGCGCGGCCGCTGGCGTTGCGGCACAGGCTGCGTGTGTGGGGGGTGGGCGGCCCCTGGCGCGCCGCAACCTGCCCCCGCCTTCGCCACCCGCCTGTGTTATGCGCGCTGCGCTCATCTGGCATGCCAGCGCCCTGCCGCGGATCAGCCTGCAGGCGGGCAAGGGAGCACGGCCGTTGAGCTCCAGGCAGCGGCACCAGGCGCCCGATGTTCCTTGTCACGAGGCAGCGGGTGCAGCACAGCGCGCAGAGCGTGCAGCCGCCGAGGCGCGGCACCGCCACCCACCCGTACAGCTTGGCAGCGGGGCGCTCCACGCCCTGCTCAGCCAGCTGCTCGGCGGTAAGCAGCGGGTCGGTGGGGCGGATGGCCTCGTGCGCCTCCTGCAGCAGGCAGGAGGCGGCGGTGTGTGAAGGCGGCAGTGAGGCAGCCGCGGCGCAGTGCCCCGTCCTCCCACACACACCGCCACACACACCACACCACACACAAGCACGGGGACACGCGCACGAGCCGCCGCCGCCACACGCCACCTGCGCATTCTTGCTCCTGGACCGGTACACTCGCGCCTCCGCCGCCACATACTGCGCCCCGTGCTCAGCCGCCGCCGCCTGCCGCAGCGCCTCCACGGCGGCGGGCGCCAGGCTGACGCCGTCGGTGCGCATGTACGAGATGTGGCCTGCGGCGCAGCAGTGTGGCGGGCAGTGACGGCGGCAGGAGCTGAAAAGTGAAGAAGGAAGGGTGGCAGCAGCCGCGGGCCGGCGAGCCATGCATCCATCACACCGATGCCTGCTGAACACCACCAAAAAACAGCCGCTCCACAGTCGCTGTGGACATACATCACTGTTCAGCTCACCAGATTCGTAGAGCTGCTGCGCCAGCTGCATCGTGCGGCTGGCACCTGCACACAGCATGGCAGCCCAGCAGGGGTGGGCGGGCCGGCCAGCCTGCCCCACTGGCGCCCACGCCACTGGCACATGCCGCTTGCACACAGCATGGCATGCGACCATAGCAGGCCCACCGTGCGGCTCACCCAGGCCCAGCCGCTTGTTTGCCTCCTGCTGCAGCGTGCTGGTGGTGAAGGGGGGCGGCGGCTGCCGCTGCTGCTCCCTGCTGCTGGCCTCGCGCACGGTGAACCGCGCTGCCGCCACCCGCGCCGCCACTGCTGCCGCCGCCTGCTGGTCGGGGAAGCCCGGCTGGGGCGGCGACGCGCCATCCACGCCAGCCAGCCGCGCCTGCAGCAGGTTGGAGAGTGAGCAGCCCGTGGGATGGCCGTGCCTTGCCAGCTCACGTCCCAACGACTGGCATGGCAGTCAGCGGGCAGCGGGCCGTCCCTTCCAGCCCCCACCCACACACCTGTATGGTGCTGCCGCCGGGCAGCTGCAGGTCGGCTTCCACCGTATAGTACTTGTGCTGCTGGAACGCATCAATGGCCGCCTCCCGCTCGCACACCAGGCGCAGCGCCACAGACTGTGCGGCGACATCGGCAGGGGCGGCCCACAGCAGTGCCCTTGTCAGCGCCCCGCCAATGCAGTCGGTGCCAGTGACTGCTGGGTGTTTGAAGCGTCACACGCGGCAGGCACGGGGCACACTCAGCAGGGATCAGGCGGCACGGCGTGCTGGCGTGTGGCGCACCTGCACCCTGCCTGCCGACCGCGCGCCGGGCACCTTGCGCCACAGCATGGGCGACAGGTGGAAGCCAAACAGATAGTCCAGCGCCCTGGGAGGGTGGTGGTGGTGGTGGCACATGCGTGTGTGTGTCTCCATGTGGTGCTGGTGCACGTGTGTGTGGATGGAGGGACTCGGCATCACTCACCAGGCTGGCGGCAGCGGGCAGCAGGCACAGCAGGCGCAGCAGCACAGGTGGGTGCTACATCAGGCACCGCTTGCTGGCGACAGCGCGGCGGCAGCGCGGCGCGCCACCTGCGTGCCATGTAGGCGTGAACCAGTGGCTCGGAGATGTCGCGCGGCCGCTGCAGCGCCTCCAGCACCGCGCGCTTGGTGACTGCAGAGGGTGGGTGGGAGGGGGGCCTGAGCCCTCGGTTGGGGAGGCGCAGCCGCTCTCCACACCCTCCACACCCGCCACCTACCACCCACCACCACCACACCATCATCACAACCAACACTATCAGCATCCAAACAATGCGCACGAGCACACACACAGCGTGCGCACGCGGGCGCCGCACCCTCTGTGAAAGTGATGCGCTGCGTGGTGGTGCTCTCGAGTATGGCGCGCCGCCCCTGCAGCTCCTGCACCAGGTGCCAGCTGATGGCCTCCCCCTCTCGGTCCGGGTCGGTGGCCAGCACCAGGCGGGACGCCTGCCGTACCGCCGACGCGATGGCCGGCAGCCGCGCCTCTGCCGCGCCCAGCACCTGCCACTTCATGGCAAACCCTGAGTCGGGATCCACCGAGCCGCCCCTGGCGGGCAGGTCCCGGATGTGGCCGTAACTGGCCAGCACCTGCAGCGCAGGCAGCCAGGCAGGCGGTCAGGCGGGCTGCTGCGGGAAAGCCGTGCGGCAGACAGCAGCGTGGGCGTCCTGATCGGACACGGCGTTGCTAGGAGACGAGGAGCCAGCGCGCTGTGCACGCACTGCACAGCATGCACAGCACATGCACAGCATGCACAGCACGCCCACGCTGCACCTTGTAGTCTGGCCCAAGGAAGTCTTGGATCTTCCGCGCCTTTGCGGGCGACTCAACCAGCAGCACCGTTGGGCCCTGCCTGGCAGCCCCAGCCGCGCCCTGCTTCCTCGTCGCCTTGGCCGCCGCCGCGGCACTGCCGGTCGCGGCAGCGCCGGCTGCGGCAGGTGCGTTGGCTGCAGCGCTGGCTGCCGTGCTGGCCAGGGCGCGGCGCCCAGCGTTGACCCCGCCGCCGCTGCTCAGGCTGCCGCCCATGAGCAGGCCGCGGCCGGCGGCTGGCGCCAGCTCCGCCAGCTGCGCCAGCCATGCTGTCCCTCTGCGTCTTAATGCCGCCACCAGCATGGGCTGCTGCAGACAGCACGTGGCAGGAAGGAAGAGCACCTCAATGGCAGGGGGCGGGGCGACAAGCGGCGGCGGGACGTGCACGAGCGGCAGGGGAGCCCCCGCTCTGGTCCCGGCATGCTGCTGGCTAGCTGGGCAATGCTCCCACCTGTCGTATTCCTCTCAATCCCTTGCGCTGCAGAGCCAAATGCTCCTGCAAAGCTGCGCTTAGGCGCATGGCACGGCGCGAGCAGCAACCATACCCAGTTTCACTGGAAGCCGGTCAGCGTTATCGCGTGATGCTCTGCAGCAAAGGCCGCACGATAGGCTGCAAGTTGCCTGCGCCAGTGTCGTCAGCAAGGGTCTGCAGAGCCTCCCAGCATGCGAAAACTGCCAAGGTTTTCCGCCGATCACGATGTATAGCAATCCTGCGAGATTGCCGCCATTTCAGCGCCCCACACCCCGCCCCTCTGGCGTCCCATCAGCAGCCGCAGGTGCCGGACATCTTGTAGGGGTTTTGGTTTTTGCAATGACAGTACAGTAGTGTCTCTGACCCAGAACAGTCGGCCAAGAAAGTACAACAGCACAATTGCACCATTGCGTCACAACTTAGAGCAGCGCGGCTACCGGGGCGCCGGGCTGCCGCTGGCCGCCCCCGCCGCATCCTCCTCCCGAAGGTCAGTGGAGCTCAGCTTGGCTGCGCGGCGGCGGGAGTAGATGAGCCCAACGACCACAATCACGAGTGGGGGGAACCCCAGCTCTGCCCGCGTCTGCAAGTAAAAGCGGCGCAAGGAGCAATGTCAGGCGGCGAGGCGGTTGCATCCTCCGCCTTGTTGCCACGTGTTCCTGCCTCGTCCTGCGCACACCTGCCCACCGAATCCCCAAGCCCAGAGCAACAGGCTAGCCGCGCACAAAGATCATCTTGCCCACTACTCAACCCCAGCAGGCCCACCAGCACTAGCCCCCTGCACGGCTAGGCACCCACACCCAACCAGCGCCGCCCACCTGGTTGATGGCGTGCGCCCCCGGCACCGTCTCCTCCGACACAACAATGGCATCAAACTCGGGGTCCACAGCGCACAGCGGCGGCTCCTGCACCCCAGGCACGCCACACTGCGCAGTAAGCCTGCCTGGCGCCCGACTTCTGCGCCAGCCGCCACTCGCGCCTGCGCACCGCTGCTGGCTGGCTGCGCGGCAGCAAGCACCGCCATAGCCCCTGCCACCCGCCCACCACACCTTGGGGTTGGTGAGGGGCCCCGCCACCACGGTGGCCTCCGGGTTGACCACCTGCATGTATCCCACCGCCGCCGCCTCCCGCTCCGCATACCCCTCCAGCAGCGCCCGGTTCTTCTTCGTGGCCAGCAGCGCGTCGGCTGCGGCCAGACAAGGGGCACGGGTGCGTGCGCGTGCAGAGCGTGAGGCAAGGCACGGCCTGCGTCGGCAGCAGGCGAATGGAGCATGCAGCATGCAGCACCGAGGGGCATGTACCCGCATGTACCGCGCCCGGCCGGCCTCCATCTCCACCCGGCCCACCTGTGATGCCTACAAAGATGCTGCGCGTGGCCAGCAGCGCGGTGGCAGCCAGCAGCAGGCGGTGCCCCGCGTGCAGGCGGTCAAACGTGCCGCCCACCGCCACCTTGCTGAACTGGAGCACGGGCGAGGGCCAGTCCCCGATGACGCGGGAGCGGGGCACAGGCGGGCCGCCGGCCCCGCCCATGCCATCCCCCTGCTGCTGCTGCTGTTGCGGCAGCTGTCCGTCGGCGCTGCCGCCTCTACTGCCGCCGACGCTGCCGCCGCCGTCTGGCTGCTGCGGCGGCTCACCACTCGCTGCATCTCCAGCCTCTTGGTGGCCCGCGGTAAGCGTGAGGCTGACGCTGGGCAGGCCCGCTCGCTGCCGTGACTCATTAATCAGGTCCACCAGCGCATGGCAGTCCCCCGCATGCTCTGCCGCAGCCACAACCTCCTCCACATCTGTCAGCCGCTCTGCCACCCGCTCCGCCGACCAGCCCATGCAGGGCATCAGCGGGAAGACGTCGCAGCGCGGCATGCCGTGCGCCGAGGGCTCCAGGCAGTGCGTGAGGTAGTCCAGGGTGGCGGTGGTGGGCGGGCTGCTCGCTGCTGGGCCTGCAGGCACGGGTGAGAGGCAGCCAAGCACGCGCTGGCACCATAGCGCCCGGCTGACTTCCGCTAGCACCGCAGGGGTGCGGTGGGCGGCTGCCAGCCGCCCTGCTACCCTGCTCCGACACCCCCTCGTACCCCACCTGTGCAGTGCAGGTAGACTGCGCCCCTGCTGGTGCGCATGCTGTACTCTAGCAGGGCGGCCTCTTCCTCTGCCCGTTCCAGTCGGAGCGGCACCAGGACCGAGCCCTGGGACATCCTGGCCGCTTTGGGCGGCACTCTGACCGCCTGTTTTAGCTCGTAACTGGTCGGGACGGCAGCAGTGAAGCAAGTGGGCAGCGTCAGGCCCGCCAATGGCATCCCCTGAGCAATCACAATAATGGCAGCATCCGTGCAAATGCCATCCCGTTCCTGGAGGCGGGAGCGCTAGGGTCTCGGGCGAAGGGCAATACCGACCGAAGGTACTTCGTTTTGTCTGCCGCAGGCGACAAATTGGCATCGTCATTCACCCTGCGTCTGCCCATAGCTGACCTCCCTCGCCCTGCACTCCTGGGGTTTGGATCCAAGCCGGTTTGGATCGCTTTGGGTGCAGCTGTCTTCCTCATGGAGCCTTTTGCCAAGCGGCCTCGTGTGGAGGGGGCCATCCACACGGGTTTACCAGCAGAGGAGGCGCTGACATTCCATCTTTTGAAGAAGGACGCTGAGGGGCGGGTGGTGATCGAGGAGAACGGCAACTTCCCGCCGGAAATGACGCACCAGTGAGCAGAGGAGGAGCTGGGAAGCCGATGGGCGATGCCTGGGGTGCTACCGGCCGAGCCGCCACCGACCCGCCACGCTGCCGCCGTGCCGACCCGCCGCTCGCCTGCTGCCCTGCAGGCTGTTTGGCGAGAAGGAGGAGATTGTGGGATACGACGGCCTCAGCATCGACGTGTGGCTCACGCCACAGTTCCAGGTGCGCCTGCTCTTGGTGTGGCGGGGCGACACAGCGCCCGTCCCCACCTTGCCTCGCACTCCAGACTTTGCATCCACCTGCCCTTGCCCTGGCTCCTGCTGCCGAGCAGGCATTCATCGACGTCAAGTACGCGGCCAAGGGGCCCGGCGCCACAGAGCTGAAGCAGCCGTTTGCGGACGCCTTTGAGGCGGGATTCTTCCAGGACAAGGCGCAGTTTGATGCGGCGCTGCAGGTGGGGGAGCAGGTCTGGGGCGGCCGCGCTGGGGCAGGGAGTGTACAACGGCTGGAGAGCACAGACATAGGCATGGGGCTCATGGGGCTCATCTGCCGCCTGGCCTGGCCTGCGAGTGCAGGAGGAGGCGGGCATTGATGTGGGGCTGCTGGGCGAGCAGGTGGCCAGCCGGGAGACGGAGGAGGGGTCAACGTTCCGGGTGTGCCACGCCCACCTGGCCACCGCCAACCCCGCGCTCAAGGTGGGCAGCACGGGGGCGTGGCGGGGCGGCGGTGGTTGGGCGGACAGCTTGCCACCTCTTCAGCGTGGCTCGCCGGTCCAGCGCCGCTCGACGCCTTGCCCCTGCATGCCTCCCGTCCCGCAGGCGATGCACGCGCGGCTGCAGCCCCTGCTCTACTTCTTTGTGGATGCCGCCAGCACTATCGACCAGGAGGATGAGGGCTGGCACCTGCTGACCGCGGTGGAGCAGTCACCCGAGGGCGTGGAGGTGCGGCGCGGCTCCAGCCGCAGCGCCCTCCCGCATCGGTCGGCAGCGGACTAACCCCTCTCTCAGCTGTAGCCTCGTTCTGCCCCGCCACCAACCCGCTTCTCCCCTCGCCCCGGCTCGGTTCCTGCTGCCCCCCGCTGCCCTGCAGGTGCTGGGGTTTGCCACTGTGTATCGGCACTACCATTACCCGGCAGGTGCCCGGCTCAAGCTGGCACAGATCCTGGTGCTGCCGCCGCACCAGGGGCGCGGCGCGGGCAGCATGCTGCTGCAAGCGGCGCAGGGGCTGGCGGAGCAGACGGGCGCCTGTGACCTGTCGGTGAGCTGGGCTGGAGAGGCGGCACAGCGCGGCGCAGCGCGGCGCAGCGTGCGGGAGCGCTGCCTGCAGCCGCAGGCTGGGCCATGCACTGTTGGCGGCCCCATGTTTTGTTGGCATTCAGACCGCAGTGTGATGCCCCTGCCCCACCACCCACCACCTACAGCCCGCAGCTCACCTCTGCTGCCGCCGCCGCGCCCCTCCTGGCCTTGCCCCCAGTTTGAGGACCCTGCAGACGCGCTGCAAGCGCTGCGCACCGGCCTGGATGTGCAGCGTGCGCTGGCGCTGGACTGGGCGCAGGCGGCCGCCGCGGAGCGCATCTCTGCGCTGGCCGGCGACAAGGGAAAGTCGTCGGCAGCCACCGCCAACGGCAGCGGCAGCGGCAGCGGCAAGGCAGCCCGGCTGGCGGCGCTGGAGCACCCGCTGGCGGCGCCGGCCGAGGTGCTGTCTCGGCTGCGCTCGGAGCTGCGGCTGACGCGGCTGCAGGCGGGGGTGGTGTGGCGCGTGCTGGTGTACGTTGTTGGCAAGGGCGAGGCGGCGGTGGTGGAGGGCGTCAAGGGCATGATACGGCAGCAGCTGGTGGCGCAGCTGGCGGCGGCAAAGGAGGACGCGCAAGGTGTGCTGTGTGTGTGTGCGCGGGCCACGGGCACGCAGGGCGTGGGATGTGCTGCATGCCATCCTGATGCTGAGCTGGCTGAGCTGTTGTCAGTTCAGTTCGGTGTGCTGAAGCTGTGCTCCCCCCCTGGCCCTGCTGCTGCAGGCAAGAGCGTGCGGGAGACGGACAAAGGGTTCATCATGTGCCGCGGCGCCGCCACCACCAAGAGCGCCATCCCGCTGCTCCCGGTGGAGGAGCAGAGCGCGGAGCAGCAGGCAGACGCGGTGGAGGAGAGCACGGAGCAGCAGCTGGAGGCGGTGGCGGCGGTGGCGGCCAAGTTTCTTCTGTTGGAGGATGAGGAGGACGAGGAGTGAGCCGGCGCGCTGCAGGCATTTGAACCGTGTGCACTTTGAGCTTGCAAACCAAGCAACGCAATCAAATAGGAGACAGGAGAGAGCAGATGAAATGGGCAAAGTAGGCAGATCTTGTGGGCTGGCACAGGCGCCTGGGCGTGCTGCCGCCGCATCACTTGAAAGTGCCCTGCCAGCGGCTGAAGTCTTCGTACTCCAGCCACACGCTGCGCCCATCCTGCGCCCCGCCCCGCAGCTTCACCTCCGCCTGCGGGCAGGCAGGGCAGCCCGTGCGATTGTGTGTGTGCTGGTGGGGGAGGTGGGGCAAGTGCTGGGGCTGCTGCGGCGCCGGCCGCACAGACAGGGAGCGCGCAAGCGAGCGGGCGCGTCCCGCCGCCCCGCCCCATCCCCGCGCCCTCCCCACCTTGAACTTCTTGGTGTCTATGCCCACCAGCGTGCCCCTGGCGCCGCGGTGCGGCCCGCTGACCACCAGCACCGTGCCGCCCGGCTGCGGCACCACCGTCTCCAGCTCCGCCTGGTCCACCTGCGGGCGATGGTGATGGTGGGGTTTGGTGGGGTGGGGTGGGGGTTGTGGGTGGGTGGGGCGCTGGACCCTAAAACCCATAAACACACGGCACCTGGGAGTGGAAAAAACCGGCACAGCCACTGTTCACGGGCCCAGGCATCGCCCTCCCCTCCTGGGCCCCCACCTGCACCTGCCCACCTCCCTTCCCACCACCCACCCCACCCCCACATGCCGCCCACCTGCAGCACGTCCCCCGAGTCGCTCATCTCCACCTCGCCCCGGTACCGCTCCACCACCCGCAGTACCACCCCCTTCTTCTTGTAGTAGTCGCCCAGCTTCTTGGCCAGCACCTGGCGCACAGGGAGGGGCCGTGGGGGACAGAAAAAAGAGAGGACATGGGATGGGAGGGAGAGGTTGGGCCTGCTGGGATCCCTGCAGTGCCGCTCTGCTGCCCGGGCTGTCCAGCACATCCACGCTCCCTGCTGAGCTGAAAAGCCAAAGGGAACGCCAGCCCCCACCTTGACCACTATGCCCGGCGCCAGCCAATAGTCCAGCCGCTGCTGCTGCTCCGTCGCCGCCGCGCGCGCCGCATCCGACGCCGCCTGGGCCTGCTTGGCGGCGCGGTCCTGTGGGCAGGCACAAGGCCAGGAGGGGCAGGTGCCAGGTCAGCATCCTGCTGTGCTGCACCAGACACGTGCCTGGCCACAAGCCGCAAGCCACCACCTCCCCATGCACTCCAGCAGACCTCCCCATGAGCTCCAGCAGCTCGCTCTCCCTCCCCTACCTTTTCCATCAGCTCCTCTATCTTGCTCTTCCTCCCTCCCGCCGCCCCCTTGCCCGCAGATGCCCCGCCGCCGCCCTCCTCCTCAAACGCCAGCGCCGGCCTGGCCCCCCGCTCCCGCTGCTGCTGCCCATCGTGCGCTGCCGCAGAGGGCGCCGCCGCGCCGCGGCCCGCCGCCAGCTGGAACCCCAGCGGCTGCTCCAGCTCCTCCCGCCGCAGCTCGGTGGCGCCGGGGGGCTGCTCCCCGCCGCCGTCTGTGCGCGCCATCTTCTGCGCCCGCTCAATCTGCTCCTGCAGCATGCGCCGCTGCCGCTCCTCCTCCACCTGCTCCGCGCGCTCCCGCTTGGCCCGCTTCTTCCCCTCAATCTCCTGCGAAGCAACCCGGGCAGGCGCGCGGGTCGGGCCAGGGAGCCAACCGCCAGGGAGCGGCCAGAGCGGCCAGCGCATCAGCGCCGCCGCTTGCTGTCCCCGCAGCGCTCACCTCCATCTCGTCTCGGTGCACCAGCGTGATGAACCAGCCCTTCTCAGTCTCCTCCACCTTGCACTGCCCCGTGCGCCCCAGGTGCTTCACAAATTCGGTCAGCGTCAGCCACTTGGTACTGTTCATGTGCACATGGTACCTGCGTGTGTGTGTGTGTGGAGGGGGCAGGCAGCACACGGGCGGCGCGGCCGGGTGGAGGCGGTGAGGAGGGCCGGGGAGGCGGGGCAGGGTGGGCGGGCGTGACCCCAAACAGGCTGCGCCCCGCCCCATCGCCGCCAAACACAGCCGCAGTGCAGCACGATCACCACCGCCGCCGCCGCCGCCGCCGCCAGGCGTGTGCGGCACCCACCCACACAGCCACCCACACCACCCATGCCGCCACCTGTCGTTGATGTACTCGTTGTAGACCACGTTGGCGGCGATGCGGGAGAAGGGGTGCGCCTGCTTCAGGTGGTCGAGAAACGTCTTCTCAAACTCCTCGCTGTACCTGCGGGGCGGCCAGGGAAGCGCAGGTCAGGTCAGGTCAGGTCAGGTCAGGTCAGGGCAAGGGGTGGCTCAAGGAGGGCAGGGCAGGGCAGGGGGTGGCTCAAGGAGGGCAGGGGCAGGGCAGGGGGTGGCTCAAGGAGGGCAGGGGCAGGGCACGGACGGGCCGGCACGGGCGGGGTAGAGGGGCAGGCGCGCTCAGGGCAGCCCCCGCCTCACCCCTCCACGATGCGGTGAGGGTTCTGCCCAAAGATCTCCATCTGCCGCTTGTGCCCCTCCGAGCTGAGGTGGCACTTGAACCCGTTCTCGTCGCGGCACTGCTTCTCGCACATCTGCGTGGAAGCGGCAGGGACACCAGGCAGGGCGGGGCAGGGTTGGCCAGCAGGGCAGCCCACCGTGCTGCTTCAAGGGCAGCACAGCCCGCTACTTCTGGCAACAGAAGGGCGGCTGGGCCTTTGGTGGCAGCAAAGCAGCAGCTGAGGCAGGACACGCAGCTAGAGGCACAGCGCAGCATCGGGGGCGCCGATGGCGGCAGCCACAGCTCTTTGGCAGGCTCGCCGCACTCGCACCTGGCAGTACCATCGCAGCTTCTGCAAGCCCTTGGCTTTGATGCGGTTGCCGATGGCCTTGGGGGTCAGGAAGTCTGCACCGGGCAGGAAGGCTCGACAGCGGTGGCGGTGGCAGCGCCTGGCGGCGGGCCCGGTGGCAGCCACCGCTGCCTGGCACATTGCAGCCTCAACCGCACAGTGCAGCCTCGGCTGTACACCTCGTGCTGCCACAATCAGCTTGGCTCAGCTCAGACAGCGACCGTCGAGGTGCACCACCACCGCCGATCGACGACTCACCATTTTTTCCCATGTCTGCGCACCCTCACGGCGCAAACGGCCCCACTGTGCCGCTATAGAAGCCGGTTGTGGGACTCGGGTGCAAGGCCAGCCTCTGGAAGGGCTCGCAGTGGACGGGGAAGGCACAAAGTGGGGATAAGAACAGCAATTGAGGACCAGAGAAGGATGCAGGGAGGGCGCCAGCTCAGTGTTTCTGGCCCTCGTGGCAGCTTTGGCGATGGGCGGGCGATGAGGACTGCTGTCGCGTCCAAATTTCGCCAATCAGCTGGCGATGGCACATTGAGGATTGGCGAAATGCGGGGGAGCCACCCTTGCGCCTGGCACAGCGCAGCGGCCACATGCGGCGCCGCTGTTGCTTTGTCGGCACTTGCCTCCCTTTTGGGGGACTGGGGGCGAAGCCCCCAGCAAGCTGGCGCTTGTTTAACACTATGGAGTGAAGTTCCTGAGGAAAATTGGCCATTTCTCCTCAAAATATTGGCGATGTCATGGGGGCTGGCGACGCGCTGTCGCCCCGCCGCCTGCCCTCATTTAGCCAGCCCTGGCTGGCGATGGCCTTCGGCCAATCGCCAGCCAGAGCCGTTTTTTGGCCCGATTTCGCCAGCATTTGGCGATTTCGCCAGCTTTCAGAAACACTGCGCCAGCTGCATCCTCTGCCAGCAGGGCCGCCAGCAGTGCGCCGCCTGCCCAGGAGTCCAGCGCGCTCCTCCAAACCAGCAGCCCATTGACACTGCAGGGTTTCTATCTATTGCAATTCGGCATTCAAGGGGCCCAGCAGCATCGGCATGTTCTGCCACAGACGGAGAGGGCTGCACTGCCCACGGCAGCACACTCGACGCTGGCACTGTTCTCGCGTGTGCCCTTCACGTGTGCCCTGCCGCAGGCTCCCATCAGGCTCCACCCTATTGATCCGTTCCCTCATCTGCCAGTGTGTGTTGATGCTTGCTTGTGCTTGTGTGGGCTTAAAGTCTGGTAAAGCAAGAACTAGCTTGCAACATAGACTCCCCGCCGAAACGGGACGGGAACCGGGCGAAAGCAGAGAAAGCAATAAAACAGGGGTGGAGCAAGGCGACATGCAACGCAAGCAGCTGACAGGGCACGCATCGAAACGTGTGTATGACTGGCAAAGTGGCATGGCGCATTGGGGAGAAACGCAACGGTACGGGAGCATGGGCTGGCCAAACGGCAGTGCGGAACGCTAGGTCACTAGAAAAGCAGGGAAAGGCGCACTATGTATGCAATGAGGGCAGCCCCGGCTCGGGGCCGTTGAGAAAGCAGTGGGCGGGAGGGGGGAGGCCCCGGTGTGGGCGGGCCCCATCGAGGGGGGATGGGGCGCGCAAGCGGCCAGATGGGGCGGGGCGCGGGCGGCAGTGGAGTCCTGCGGCTGGGTGGGATATAGGGCAATGAGCGTTGAGCAGTGTGCGATGAGCAATGAGCAATGAGCAGTGAGCAGCCCCTCCCTAAACAAAGTGAAGCGCAGGACGGGGTCCGGTGGATGGGAGGCAAGGAAACGCGGGGGGTTGCCACGTGCGCTACCGCCGCCGCCGCAGGCAGCACCCCTGCGGCGGCGGCAGCGGCAGCAAGCCGTGGACCCAAACGCCGTGCCGCCGCCGCCGCAGGCAGCACCCCTGCGACGGCGGCGGCAGCAAGCCGTGGACCGAAACGCCGTGCCGCCGAGTCCCGTGGCTGCGACCGTAGACCGTGGGCCGGAAACTGCGGCCGCAGCTCGGCGGCACGTGGTTCTGTTCAAATCGCCAAGCGTGCAGCAGCGCCGAACCACGCTTCCCGGCCTCGGCGCATGCCTTCAGGGGCCCCCTATCGCTGGGCACACCCCTCCAACACCGAACATGCGCCCGGGGGGGAGGGCGGCCCGGGCTGCCCAGGCCAAAGTGGGCCGCCCTCGAGCAAGAGGCGGCCGGTCTGTGTGCTGAATGAATGAATGGATGCGTACTACTGATGTCTGTTTGCTTACAACAGACGCCCGGCGTGAGCCTGGGCAAGCGTGAATCAGTCAGATTGATTTCGGCAAAAGTTATTGGGCAGTGCTGGAGCAAAAGCATGAAAAAATGGCGGTTCGACAAGGCAGGCAACATGAGTAGATTTTGTGTAGCAGGGAAGCCGTGGTAAAAGGAAGGTCGGTATGCGTGATGGATGCGTGGTGATGGGTAGAGAGGCTGGGTGAGACAGGAGCATTTGATATCGGGGAAGGGGCTAATGGCCAGGAAAACAGCGGAGGTGCGCATGCATAATGCGCATCCATGTGTCAAGGGTATACTGGTGCAGGAACACCAGGTTTGAGGCTCTCCACAGCTAAGGGTCAGAGGAGCTGGGGTCAGAAGGCAAGCGTTGAAAGAATGGGTGGGGCTCCTAAGGGGCCCGTCGTTGGCAAGGCAGCGTGGAGCACTGTTGCAGCTCCGGCGCCAGCTCAGGTCTGGGCCGCGCGGTGCTGCGCAAGGGTGGGGGTGCCCGGCAGCACCAGCGCATCGGCCTCCAGGGCCGCGGCGGCCTTGCCGGGCAGGAGCAGGGCGTCGGCGTGCACCGGCGTGGCGGCGCGTGGCGAGCAGAGCGCCAGCGAGGAGGGGGTGCGCGGCGTGGCGGGCACCAGCTGCTCGGCGATGACGTTCACGGTGTGGCTGGCCGCGTGCGGCGCGCTGGCCGCCAGCGGCATGCGGCCGCTGGTCAGCTGCTTGGCGGCGCGGCGCGTGTCGACGTAGGACGCGGCCAGCGCCATGAGCCAGGCCGCGACGCCCGCCAGGCAGCCCAGAGCGTACAGGGCCGCCTCCTCGTCGCTCCACCGCCCGTAGTAGTCAAAGTAGTTGACCTGGAGGTGCACCACGGTGCGGCGGCCGTCGGCGCCACTGCCGCTGCGGTAGTAGGTCTTGTGGTGGAAGAAGGACCAGTACAGCGACAGGGCTGCCAGCATGGCGGTGTGCGCGGCGGCGCCTGCTCCGCCAGCGCAACACCAGCCCGGGAGGCGGTGCCAGAGAAGGCACGGTAGATCTGCAAGAAGAGGGAGGCAGCGAGGAGGGCGGGGCGGGTGAGATGGGCGGGCAAGAGGAGGCAGGCGCGGGGAGGGCGGCCAGCGTCGCACCGGCTGCTGGCAGCTGCGTGTGCCGGTAGGGTCCTCACCTGGAAGCAGATCACGGCTAGCGCGCAGGCCGCGGAGGCCGCGCCGGTGGAGACTATGGTCTGATCCACCCAGCGGGGGCCATCGCGGGCCGCGGTGTGGTCAAGGGACAGCACCACGGCTGTGCACGCCGCAATGCACTGCAGCAGGAAAGCACGGGGATGAGGGTTGAGTGGTGGGGCTCGCGCGGGGGAGACGTGGCAGCGCAAGCACAGGCCCTGGCGGCGGCCACTGGCTGCGGGCTGTGCTGTAACTCACCGCAAGTTTGCAGGCAAGGACCGTGACGAATCCGAACCCACTAATGTTCATAAGTCCTCTGGAGAGGAGAGGTGGAGCAGCGGGCAGCCTGCAGCAACAAAGGTGGGGGGCGGTGGGGGGGCGCCAGCTAGTGAGCAGGGCTGTGTACGCTAGGCGGGGAGGAGACCGGGCTGGCCTCTGCATGCCCCAGCCCACCCATCCCGAGTCGCTGAAGAGGAAACCCGGGTGGGCGGGAGGCCGCCGCCCCATGCTAGGCAAGTACCCTGCTCCCCCAGCGTGCCCAACGGGGCCTCCCTGGGCCGCGCCACCCGCGCTTCGCACCTCTGAGGGCTGTGCCGCGCTGTGGGAAGCCTTGCGAGCCGAGTTGGGCCGGCCCGGGCTGAGAGTCTTCGGGAGTTTGGAGTGGGTGGAGGTGTTCACGTGTGGATAGCTTGAGAGTCAAGCGAGAGGCCCCTCCAGTGGCCGATGATGGAATGAAGTGGGAGAATGGTGGGGCGGAGGGCGGTGGCGGCTTGACCACCTCAGCGGCCCGAACGTCCACCTGGGGCTGTGCGGAAGCGACCCGTGCGATTTGACCCCTCTCCTCAGACCGCGGCCCGCCCTCAAGTCAACGGTTTACGCCAACCGGCTATGTTCAGGGCTTCTCATACTGGTGCAAGACATGAAACACAATGGAAACCGGGCTGGAAGGGACTGGGTGGGGTGCGCGGCCCGGTGGCTCGCCTGCCACCCCCGACCCAAACATTTTGTGGGGGGGGCCGAGAAGCTCCCTCGACGCTGTCGCACGTAAAAACTGCGCGGCCCGGCTCAAACCTGCGTGTGGCGGCATGGAGGGTGAAGGTTTGCAGTGTGAGCGCCCCACTGATACCCTTTTGGCGGGCGACCCAAGCTTGCGGCCCCCTTACCGGGGGCTGCCGCCAGTCGGGCAGTTCGTCTACCCCCCCCCTTCAACAGGCTTGCCATCTGGTTCTGAAGGGGCCCATGAGTGCGGTGTGCAAGGAAGGCTGGCTCGGCCACGCAGGCAGCTGTAGTCAGTTGACAGCAACCTCTGACGAACAGCTCTGCAGCTGGTGGGCCTCTGCCAGCGGCGGCAGCAGGCAACGTCTCAGGATGGTCGGCCAGCGGGCACGTCTGAGGGGTGGGGAGGGCCAAAGCGCACAAGTAGCAGGGGCAGGCTCGGTTTGGCATCATGCCATGGCACCGCGGCTGCCGCCGCCAGCTCTGGCAATGGCCCGCAGACAGCCCACATTGTTGTGCCATGAAGTTACAATCCCTGACATCCAGAAGCGATACAGCAAAGGGTGGCAGTGCAGTGGGTGGCGGTAGTCAAATGGGGGGTCATCCAAGAGGGAGGGAGAGCAACAGGGGCCCGCAGTGATGGTGGTCCAGGGCGAAAAATGTTAGCAAGTGGAGTCAAATGGGAAAGCCGGCCGCACATGTCAATCAAGGTCAGCAACAACAGGCGGGGGCCGGCAGGTCAGTCGGTCGGTCAGTGTGCTGTCCCGCTGGTCTCAGCGGGATGCATCAAGGGTCGGTCACGACTGGCTCAAATTGGGGGTGGGCGGCAGGAGCGTGTGGCTGGCGGCAGCAGCCGGCTTGGGCGCAGCACCCCGCGCCACCGCTGGCGCCCGGCTGGCGAGGCGCCGCGGGGGGCTTGGCGCCAGGCTGCTGCCCGCCAGGCTCATGCCGTCAATCTCTTGCTGCAGCGCCGCGTTGCGCGAGTTCAGCGCCGTGATGCCGCGAGCCACCTGCTCCATGTGCGCGGCCGAGGGCCAGGCCACGCCAGCAGGCAGCCGGCGAGAGGCGGCGGGGGCGGCAGGGGGTGGGATGCCAACCTCCGCGCCCTCCTCGCCGCCAAACACATCCGACACGCCGCTGCCGTCGTCATCGCTGTCCGCCGCCAGCGCCGCCAGCGCCGCCGCTGCCGCCGCCATCGGCTGGCCGGGCGCATGCGGCTGCTGCCGATGCTCGGCCTGGGCCCCTGGCAGCCTCAGCCACTCCTCCTGTCGGCCCCACTCGTTGTCGTGGCTGCCTGGCCCAGCCGGCTCCTCCAGGTCCAGAGCTGCCATGGCCTGCCGCAGGTCAGCCAGCACATGCTGGGAGCCGGCAGCGTGTGGGGCTGCCGGTTGCTGAAGGGCAGACTGCGGGGTGGCCGGCTGCGGCTGCTGCTGCCGTTGCAGGGGCGGCTGGGTGCCTGCAAGCGCCGCCGCCGCTGCCCACCGCCCGCCGCTGCTGTGCGCCGCCGAAAGGGCGTGTGGGGGAGGGGCAGAAGGCGTGCCATTGCCGGCAGTCGAGGCCAGCTGCTGCGGGGGTGCCAGCCCTGCCTCGCTCAGGGCGGCCATGACCTGCATGCCAAGACCCATGTGCCAGGGGGCGGCAGCAATGAGGCCATGGCTTTCCGGCCGACTGAACAGACCAGAGCCCATCCAAATTAAGGCAGCCACGAGCAGGCACGCTCTCCACACAAGTGCCAGCCTGCGGCCTGGCCTGCTGCCATGCATGGAGCCCCTCCTCGCGCCCTACCCTGCAGCACCCCCCGGCCACCTCTCACCTCGACAACCTGGGCGTGCAGCGCGCGCGCCTCTGCCTGCTGCCGCTGCATCTGCAGCTGCGCCTGCCCCGCCTCGCCCTCCGCCTCCTCAACCTGCCGCCGCAGCGCCGCGTTCTCTGCAGCCAGGCTGCTGAGCTCGTGCCGCAGCGCGGCGGGTGCGGGCGCCGCCGCTGCCGGCACCAGCGCGCCACTGGCGCCAGGGGCGCTGCCCACCGCCGCCAGCTGCGTCGAGAGGTCGCGGTTCTGGCGTTGCAGGCGTTGCAGGGCGCCAGTCAGGGACCGCACCTGCTCCTCCAAATACCGAGAAGCCTGCCTGCCGCCGCCGCCGCCGCTCCGCTTGCTGCTGCCCGCGCGGTGCGGCGGCGGGTGGCTGGCGCTGCTGCCGCCGCTGCTGTACCCATCCTCCCGTGCAGCACCGGCTTCCGCCTCGCCTGACGAGCCGCTGTCGCTGCCATGCTGCTGTGCCGCCTTCTCCTCGGCCTCCTCCTCCCAGCCGTGCTGCCAGGCCAGGCCCGCCGCACCAGCAGGCTGCGCAGGCGACCGCCCCTTGGCGGCGCTCTGCGGCCGGCGCACGGCGCTGCCCGCCACGGCGCCGTCGCCAGCCGCATCGCCGGCGCCGGCGGCCGCCGCCATGGGCGAGGGCGCGGCGCTGTCTCCGTACTTGAGCATACGCACCATGCGGCGCAGGCTGGAGCTGTCTGCCTCCGCCTGCGCCAGCCTGGCCTCCAGCTCAGCCTTGTCGCCCGCCAGCTGGCGCAGCGCCGCCTCCAGCTCGCCTCGCTGTGCCTCGCCAGCCGCCAGCTCCTGCAGCTGCACGGGGCATGCGCCAGCAGGCACGGGTGGAGGTGAGGGGGCATGCGCCTGGCACCGGAACAGCGCGGAGGGTGACCGCAACCCCAGCCGGCACACCCCTGGGCAGCGCAGCTCGGGCAGAGCGGCTGGGCTAGGCACCCCTGGTGCAGGAGCAGCCCGGGCTGGCTCCCACAACACACACACCTGCTCTTGCAGCTGCGCCAGCTGCTCAGCCAGCAGCGCGTTCTGCTCGCAGGCCGATGCCAGCTGCCCCGCCGCGCTGCCCGCCTCCGCCTCCGCCGCCTGCGCCCGCGCCCGCAGCTGCTCCTGCTGCTGCAGCAGGGCAGCGCTGCCGCTGCGCTGCTCCTCCAACTCCTGCCGCAGCTGCGCCGCCAGCTGGGCGGACTCGCAGTCCAGCGCCTGCACCTGCTGCCGCAGAGCCGCCTGCTCTGCCTCGTGGTGCGCTGCGGCCGCCTGCAGCTGGTCACCGGCGCCCGCCGCTGCTGCCGCCTGCTGCTCCAGCCGCTCCTTGTCTGCAGCCAGCTCCGCGCCCCGCTGCCGCGCCGCCTCCAGCTGCTGCTGCAGGCTGTCGACAGTGGCGCCCAGCTGGCCAGCCGTCGCCGCCGCCTCCTGCGCCGCCGCCTGCGCCTCCTCCGCCGCCGCAACCTTCTGCTGCAGCTGCAAGACCAGCGCCTGCAGCGCGGCGGCATCCTGGCTGCGCTGCCGGTTCAGTGCCGCCAGCTCTGCCTCCCGCTGGCTGGCGCCTTCCAAGCTGGCGGCCAGCTGGCGCACCTGCGCCTGCAGCCGCCCCCGTTCCTCCTGCAGCATCGCCACCGCACTGCAACAAAGGGGCACGAGAGGAACGGCGGTGGCGCGGCAGTGGGCAGTCATGTGAAGCACAGTAGAGAAGCAGGCAGCAGCCCGCTGGGACAAACGTGCAGGTGGCGACAGTGGAGCCAGGTGTGCAAGTGAGGCAGCGGCGGGCAGCCCTCGCCTCCCGCCCCGCCTGCCCCGCCCACCTCTGCAGCGTGCCGACCGCCGCGGTACGGGCCTTGGCCGCCGTGCGGTACGCCTCGGCCTCCGACCGCGCCAGCTTCACCTCGCACTCCTGCTCCAGCAGCAGCGTGCCCAGCAGCTGCTGCTGCCGCCCGGCCTGGCGCTGCATGGCCAGCAGCTGGCGCTGCAGCGCGCCCAGCTGGCGCCGCGCGCCGCGCAGGCCCTCCCGGAGCGTGTCTGCCTCCGCCCCCACCAGCTCAGCTTGGTCCCCCAGTGCCAGCAGGTCTGCTGCGGCAGCTGTAGGGTGTGGATCAACGCCAGCAGCGGCTGACGCCGTGGCTTGTGCTGCCAGGGCCGTGCGTCCGGCCGACGCCGCTGCTGCTGCCGGCACGTCAGTGGCGGGTGGCGGTGGGGTGAGCGCCACCGCCCGGCGAGCGCTGCCGAACGCCACGCCGCCTGCGTCTGTGGGTGCATCCGGTGCCCGCAGCGCCGTCAGGCGGTCGGCGGCCAGCTGCAGCGTGTGCCGCAGGGGCGAGGGGGAGCCCAGCGGCAAAGTTGGGCTGCCATCGACGCAGGGTGAGCGGACGCCGCTGGGCGTCGACTGGAGGGTGGCGGGGGTAGACGCCTCGGGCGTGCTGCCGCTGCTGCCACCGCGCTCCAGCTTGGCAACCCAACCTGCAAAGCGAAGGAAGGAACAGCAGCTGGAGCAGCAGGATGCCTGCTCGCTGTTCGCTACTGGCGTGCAGGCAGCCCAACAGGCGGCGGCGGCGGCAGGGCGCCAGCACGAACAGCACAATCCCAGGGCGCCGTGGGATGCTGTCACAGCTGTTGGCGGCCCCAGATGCAGCAGCAAATGAGGCCGCAGAGGCCGCGGGGCGCTGGAGCGAGTTCAACGGCGAGGGCCTGGGGGGGCTGCTGCTGGAGCGCCAGGCGACTAAACTCACTGTTAATGATGGGTTGGGGGCCGCCGCCGTGCTGTTGCAAGCCGGATGTTAGGCGCTGGAACTACAATGATCACTCGCTGCCTTGGCGTTGCGTTTCAGGCAGGCAGACCAACTGAGACGTGGGCAAGAGCGGCGGGTGCAAGCAACCAACTGTGCCCCGTTGGCGCCACGGCGCCCCTCGCCCGCTGTGCCGCCCATGTGGCGTGGCGCCGCTGCCCGCCGATGCGAAAAAAAGTGTGTTAGGCACTGCCAGTGCACCACAGTTGTCTGGTACCCGCCCCAGCAATCGCCTGTTTGATTGTCAGCCTCCCACTGTTGGCCTCCCACGTCTGGATGTGTCTCATCTGAGCAAACGGCGAGGTTGCACCAGGGGATGCGGGAACAGCAACAATGAGGAAAAGCAAGCAGGCCAGCCGAGCCGCATCTCACAGGCACTGGGGCGGGCGGGGGCAGGCCAGGGAGGAGGGCGGCGCCTCGCGCTCCACGGTGCTCAGTTCGAGGCGGCGCGCCTCGCCGGGCGCAAACCCAAGGCGGTGGTGCCCCCGCAGGTCCACGCCCAGGCAAGCCGCTTGAAGGACGGAGAGGTTGTCAGAGTCTGGGGAGACAATGACCACCGACTCCCCGATGTATTCCGTCTCCAGAATGCTGAGCAGCTGCCGCACCCGGACCAGCACATCGGCGGAGCTCTCGTGCACGGTGCCATCCACGTTGGGCGCGGGTCGCCAGGTCGGCGCCAGCGCATCGCCGACCTCCAGCGCCGCAGCCACCTCGCCCGTTGGAAAGCGCTCCCACTCGCCCACTCCACGGGCATCCAGGAAGGAGAACTCTGGGACAATCTGCATTTCAAGGGTTGCGGTGGTTGCGAGACCAGCTGATGTAGTGTATGCACGTGCCGATGCTGGTGGCCGCCTCATCTGCCAGAGCCCCCACCTCCTTACCCGGCTCCTGCCCACATACAGCAAGGACGCCAGGATCTCTGCCGTCTGGTACGCGTTCTGCGTGATGCTGGGCCACAGCCAGCACGCCTCGTCCAGCCCGAGCTCCCGCAATTGTCGGTAGGTTTGCAGCACCTGGCGAGGCGCGGGGCGGCAACGGTGGCTGGCACAGGTGTGAGGTTCCGACTGGATGAGGCCAATGCATTGCCTCCAAAGGATGCAGGCGTTTGTGACAACCACAACGGCCCCCATCCAAACGCCGCACCTGCTGCTTGCCTTCCCGGCTGAGACCGCAGGTCAGGCTGGTTTTCGACACAGGGTTGGTCAAGATGTAGCCCTCAGACTCCGCCACCGACTGCCCAGCACGCACTAGGTAGTAGGTGTTGTTCAACTGCTGCACTGGGAGCTGCAGGATGCCACTGGCCCAAGCGCCAGGCGGGGCTGCAAGCGCCGCCCCAGCCAGCGCCGCCACCGACAGCAGCTGCTGCCGCCGCGTCAAGTGTGGAGCCTGGGGCTGCTGCTGCTGCGGTTGTCTGAGCTGCTGGCGTGTCGGCTGCTGCCGCAGCGGATGGGGCCAGGAGAGGGTCTCGGCCATGGCGGTCCCGCCTCCCACGACTGTGGACAGCATCGACGTATTTGCTCCTCCTTCTGTAATTGCGATAGATCAGGCAGATGGGAGTTGATTAGAGACACGCGCCTGCTGTATGCTGCGCTCTCGCACAAACTGGAGGAGTTGGGCCACCCCCTGTAGCAGCTGTAGCAGATATTCCTGGTTGCCAGTCACTGACACCGTGACGCGCAACCAGTCAGCGGCCACCGCACTCCCCGGCCGCAACAGACGGCAACGAATGCGCCGCTGAAGGCCATGCTGGGCCGACTGTTTTGCTTCAGCGGCGGCAGAGATGCCGAATGGGCGGCGCACGGGCAGTATGGACACCTGGTGCGCAGCGCCCAGCCGCTGGCACCCTGCGGCAGCTGTCGGTCGCCTGTTTGGGGCACCACCTGCCTGCATCTGCGCCTGAAACTTCGCCCTGTATGCGCCGCAGGCCAGCTCCTCCGCCCGGTCGCGCGTGCTGGAGGTGGTGGAGGAGGAGCTGGAGGAGCGGTATGCCGTGCTGGGCGCCCCGCCGCCCGCCCGCGCCAGCCAGGAGGCCACCTACCTCCGCCGCCTCTACAAGGCCAACCTGCCCTCTGCGGAGCTGAACCTGTGCAAAGAGCTGCTGTGCAAGGTGGCGGCCATCGACCACGCACGAGAGGCGGCAGAGGCGGTGCGTGCCCGGCTGGTGGCGGGCCCCTGCCCGCAGCAAGTCCTCCAATCGGCCTGCTTCCTCCGCCGCTTGGCCACACCATCCCATCCATCGCCGCTTCTGTTGTCGCAGGACCACCAGCAGCTGCAGGCGCAGCTCAAGGCGGCGGAGGCGTCACATCGCCAGGCGGAGTTTGCCCGGGCGCGGGCCGAGGCGATTGCCACCGCCAGGTGAGGCGCTGGCTGCTCCACATCCGCGGGGATTGCACAGGCTGAAAGTAGAGTTCAAGCTCCCTCACAGCCTCCCCACTCCACATCCGCTGCCTCCCTGCCCACACTCCACCTCTGCGTGCAGGGGCGAGGCCCTGATGCACGCTCAGCAGGCCACCCGGGAGGCAGAGATGGCCAACCTGCAGCTGGCCGAGATGCTGAAGCAGGCGCTGCCTCAGCTGGGCATCGACATCTCGCCCCTGCTGGGCACCGCCACAGCAGAGGCGTCGCCGCTGATGCTGCCGCCTGGTGAGCTGCCGCCGCTGGCTGGGGGTGTCTGCACGGCTAAGCCGCCTCTGGTGGGTGTCTTCTTCTGCCACACACCAACCCACATCTGTCCCGCTGTTGCTTGCCTGCAGCTGGCGGCGACACCGTGACGCCCCCGCCCCACCAGAGCAGCATGTTTTCGCAGCAGCAGCTGGCGGCAGTGGCAGCCAGCATCAGCAGGCTGCCGCGGCAGTCGCAGGCTGGCCCGCTGGTGCATGCGCCCCAGCAGCCGCAGGAGCAGCGTCGGCGAACAAGCGAGGGCGGGCATGCCAGGTCGCGCGAGAGCGGCGTGGAGGCTGAGCGGCAGCGGGAGCAGCTGGCCTGGAGGCAGCAGGATCAGGAGCAGCAGGCGCAGCTGGTGCGGGATGCTCAGCGGCATGAGCGGCGGCGCAGCCAGCAGGAAGCGCGCGAGAGCGGGCGGGGGCAAGCAGCGGAGGCGCGGCGCCAGGAGTGCCAGCCGCAGGTGGCTGCCGAGGGGCAGCAGGGCCCGCGCCTGTCGGGCTTCACCGTGTACACCAACGGCCTGCAGTCGCCAGAGTTTGGTGGGGCTGATGAGGGCGAGGTGGCCCACTCCCCACCCCCCAAGCAGCCCGCGCCGCAGTCCCCATCCTCCTCCAGCGGCGGCCTCGACTCGCAAGGCAGCGGCGTGGCCTGGCGCAGCATCAGCTCGGCCGCCCTCTCCAGCCGGTCTGAGGGGTCGGCGGGCGAGGAGCATGCAGCCCAGCTGGGGCAGAAGGAGCGGGTGCAGCGCCATTCGGCGGCACGCCGGCAGTCGCAGGGCAGCGGCGCCGGCAGCCGGGGCAGCCCCCATCAGCACCGCCGCCAGCGCGGCTCTACTGGCTTGCTGGAGGCGGGCGCCCCGCCGCCTGCCGGCCCCGACGACTGGGTGCAGCACGGCGGCAGCCACAAGCTGCAGCAGCGCGCGCAACACCTGCCCAAGCTGGTGCTGCCGGGGCTGGATGCCTCCCAGGTGAGGCCTGTGGTGGGTGACCAGGCTGCGGGCCTGCTGCCTGCCATTGCCGCTCCCACCTTCTGTCGCCCCGGCACCTGACACCACTCACACCCGTGCCACACCACCTGCGTCCCTGTGCAGCTGGACAGCCTGGTTCGGATCGGTGCCAGCATGCAATCCCCAGACCCCTACGCCGCCCATGCTGCGGCACCGGCCGAGGCGTTGCAGCAGATGCTGCCGCCGGGCTGGGAGCAGGCTGCGGCGGGGCAGTGGGACAGCAGCGCCAACCCGTTGCAGAGCAACGGCGACGCGGAGCGGCTGCTTTCGGAGCTGCAGGCGGAGGATCGGCGGCATCAGGGTGTGCAGCCCATCCGCGGCGGCCACAGGAGCTGCGGCGGCAGCAGCCGGGCCAGCCATGAGGGCGCGCTGCCCGGCCCATCTGCCGAGCAGGCGGCGGGCGGGGCTGGGGCGGGTGCAGGGCTGCACCAGCTGTATGCCGATGCCGGCAAGTTCCCGGGGGCAGGCACCTGGGTCAGGTGGGCGCCCCCCGCTGCCTCATCCGTTTGCACCTAGGGGCCTGCATGCCATCACATTGTTTGCCGCGCTCCCCACGCTTCCGCCCGCCACGCCCGCCACATCGCCGTGCCTGCAGCCCCTCGCTCGCCGCCATGATTGCGCACAAGAAGGGTCACAACCCGTTCCTGGACGGCGGCGAGCCCTCGCCTCCCTCCCACATCAAGGCGGTGTTTGGCACCACAGAGGACCGCGAGTTTTACGGGCCCATGGCGGGTGGGTGGCTGGTGGTGGCCATGGTGGCGGTGGTGGCGGCGGTGAAGTGGGACACACAATGTGGCGGGTGGGCTGTTGGGTGGCGTTGCCGGCCGGATGTGTTGCGCTGGCCACGGCGCATTCGTTCCTGCCTGGGCTGGCGTAGCGCGAGGCACTGGGCCTGTGGCCGACCCTCCTTGCCTCTTCCCCGGCTGTGCATGGTGCAGCCCACCTCAACAGGCGCGAGCAGCCAGCCGAGGCAGGGCAGGCCCAGGCCGCGCGGGCCTCCCGCCTGCGGCCCTCCGGTGCTACTGTTGAGAGCGTGCACGGCCCGCAGCGCCAGGGCCCCAGCAACCCCAGCAGCAGGGATGGCTCTGCAGAGTGGGAGCGCCGGCAGCAGCAGCAGCAGGCGGCGCCACCTGCTCTCAGCCGGGCAGCTTTGCAGCAGAGTGCCGCCAGCTCTGCTGTTGGGCCAGGGTTCCGGGATGGCGCCCCCCAGCAGCACCAGCCGCCAGACGAGCGCCGCCAGGCTGCCCTGTGCAACCGGTTCCAGCCCATGGGCATGTGCGCGCAGCAGTCGGCGGCAGCGCCACCCTCGTACCAGCAGCCGGCGCAGGCGCAGTATCCGGCGCCGCGCCGCAGCAGCATCGCGGTCAGCCAGCTGGGCGGCGGCGTGGCGCGGCGCAGCAGCGCCTCGGCCGACGAGAACCTGGCAGGGGTGGGGGTGAGCAGGGCGTCGGTGCGGGACTCAGGCCTGCCGCCCCGCCACCATCACCAGCAGGCGGGCCAGGCCCAGGCCCAGCCGCCCACCAAGCGCAGCCTGGACTCGATGAGGGCCAGCATCGGCGGCAGCGCTGCGGCTGCCGACTTCCACACCAGCATCCACGCGGTCGAGGCGGCCATGGCGGCGCTGAGGGATGCAAACCCGCACCTCCGCGACCCCGCAGGGCCCCAGCAGCAGCAGCCGCGGCAGCCGGGCGCCCCGTCCTCACGTGGCGGTGCCGGCAGAAGCGGTGGCGGCGCGGCCGCCAGCCTGCCTCGCCCGGCGGAGGCGCCGGCACGGCACGCCCGCACCCGCAGCCTGCCCGACACCTCTGACCTGGACCTGCCGCTGCATGCCCTTGGCAGCAGCGCCGAGCAGCAGCGCAGGGAGCAGTGAACGGCGGCCGAGGCGGGGGCGGGAAGCGCGCACGGGCGCTTCTAGGGCTGCAACCTGTTGGGTGCACCGTTGCTAGTTGCTGGTCTCACAAGCAGGGGTCCTCAGGATCTCGCTTGCTTTTGTAATGTTGATCTCCACCCAGAGTAGGGCGGCAAGGCCCCACACACACCGGCTGGCATCTGCCCAGGCGGGCAGGGCAACCAGAGGTAAGGCCTCGCCCCCAACAAGCTGTACGAGCCGCGGCGCGCAGTCAGCATGGCTGCCAGCCTGGCTCGGCCAAGGCGCCCTGGGCTATGGTCAGGTACATTATAAAGTGGCGGCAGCACGAGACAAGGGCAGTTGCACACACAAGCAGGCCAGCCCGGCAGCATGCGACAGCGGGCGCGCAAAAAACCTGCATGTGGCACAGGGTATGGTGTACACAGAGCAAGATTGGCACAGGGGCGGGAAGAGCAGGGGGGGCAAACAAAGAGGACCATCAAATTCACAGAGTGGCAGCTTGGGGAGCGAGTCGCACACGTGTCACACACATCTGGGGTAGAGCTACATGTCTGGCTGGTTGATGGCCGTTTTGAGCCGGTTCCACTGGCGGCCTGCGGCGAGCAGGCAGCACAGCGAGACACCAGTTTGGGTCAGCGCGCAGGCAGGCAACACCGAACAGCATCGGTGCGAACTGGCAAGGAGCGGGGAGCCAAGGAGCCCTCATTCGCACTGCGCACCGCAGGCGGCGAGCGGGGGCGGCGCAGAGCGCGGCGCGGGCGGCTCACCCTTGGGGTCCACCACACGGGCAAACTGGATGATGGTGGTGGTGGGCAGGAAGACGTAGTGCCTGCACCCCGACACCGGCGGAGCAGGGCCATGCGGCCAGCAGCGCGCCCAGGTGAGCACCGGGCAGCCAGCGGGCGCTGCCAGGCCCAGGCGCCGCGCCGCAGCAGCCGCCCGAGCCCAGCGGCCCCAGCACCAGGCGCCAGGCCGCAACCACGCCACCCCCGCCAGCAGCCCCAGCCCACATGCATGCGCGCCCCGACCATCTGCGCCCCTCACAGCACCACCCCCACCCGCACCCGCACCCCACTGACACAGACACCCTCCCACAGGCAGCCCCCCCCCCCCCCCCCTTGGCTCACGTGTTGACCAGGCCCACAGTGAAGTCTGTGTAGCCGGCAAAGGCGCCGTGCACCGCCCCCTGGCCCAGCACCTTGCAGTAGATGCGGTCGGTGGTGATGGTGGGGATGGAGCGGATCATGTAGCTGGGGTCTGCGCGGCAGGGGGGGGGTTGCGCGTGTGTGTGTTGTGGGTGTAGTGCGTATGCGTATGCGTGTGTGTGTGTGTTTGTGTGCAATGGGGGGGGGGGATATGGGTGCGGCGGGCGGCCGGGTGGGTGGGTGGCGGCGCAGCCGGCGGCTGGCGGGGGTGCAGACGCGCACAGGCGGCGGGGCAGCTGGGCGGGGCAGGGGTGGACTGAAGCGGCGCGGCGCGCCGTCCGTGGCCTCCCCTGAGCACGCATGCCAGGCGTGCCACAGCGGCAGCCCCGCTGCCGCCCTCTGTGCATTACACAGGCCCGCTGCCCCTCCACCCACCGATGTACTTGACATCCACCCCGGGGAACCGCTTGCGGAAGATGTCGCGCAGGAACACGCCGATGTCCTGCGGGCCGACGAGCGGCGTGGGGCGGGGTGGGGTGGGCGGTGGGCTCACGTGGTGGTGGGCGACCGAATGCAGCTGGCGCCGGCCTACAGCCACCTCAAGCAGCCAGCTGCACCGAGTCCGGCAAAGGGAAGACATCCCCCCAAGGGGTGCGGCAGCAGCGCGGCGGCGGGGGCGGGGGTGCTGCTGCCCGTGCCTGCAGGATGGGGTTGCCGCTGGCGTCTGTTCCCTTGGGTCCGCTGCTGTCCATGATGTCCTGGCCCGCGCCTGCGGCGGGCAGGGGCGGCACCCCACGTTGAGCCCCCAGCAGCGTGCGCAGGCAGGCAGGCAGGCAGGGCTGGTGCGCTGCCGGGCCACCCGCTCAACCTCCTCTCCGCCTCACCAAACACACGCAGGCATCCTGCCCATCACGTCCACACCCAAACATCCCACCCCATCACCCACACTCACGCGCACACACACCCCACTAGCCTGCTTCTCAGCAAGCCCTCGTATTCTCAGCAAGCCCCCCCCCCTGCACACACCCCGCCCTCCCCCGCCCACCCTCTGCCACGCATATGACGCAGTAGTCCTTGCGGTCCATGATGGCCTTGACAAAGTCGCACAGCTTGCCCATGTCGAAGCGGATCTCCGGGATGAGGCACACATCCA